CCATTGGCCACTTAGCTTGCATAGCGACCCAATTAGAACAGTGTTCCATCTAGCTGTACTTGGGCCAGCGACAGGGCATATGGTTTTGACTAGCGCCCTTTTGGACTGAGCAGATGCCTCGAAGTAGAATACTGTGCTGACATTTGCATTTTGAAGATGCCGTAAGCTAGGCTTACACAGTTGGGACAGTTTACGTTTTGACGGGCCAATGTTAGTAACTCAAACCCCATCCTGCATGACCTCATGCAAGTAAGAAGGTAAGAAGGAATAACGACAAGACATCAAGCGAGATGTAGTAGTAGCTCGACGCGTATGTCGCTTACATGAAGATGGCGATGGTATCTTTCGCGTTTTGGCAGCACGCCCATTTCTTATCGTGTTGGTTACCTAGGTAGGTATGTTAATGATTATACCGTTATGACCATAGGTATCGAGTATGCTAGAAATGGCAAATGGCAAATGACAAATGGCGCGACGGGCGTGACGGACAAATGCCTCTTTAGCCATGCTGCCTTCGGATAGTCCACCTGCCGACTCATTAGCTATACAGACGTGTAACAAGCAGCCGATATACACAGCTTCATTCGTGAGCGAAACAGCCCTTGTGCCAACCGACCACTCAACTACTTAACCACTTATCTATTCTCATCCCGTATTTCATGATTCTGAAATTCCGCGGCCGCCACCCGCTTTTTCGATTCATCCTTTCTTTTTCAGATAGCAGATTGGTAATTTTCCACCATGTACCTCCACCGAACTGCAGTTGTTAGTAATTAGGTCTGAGACTGGTGAGACTCTGCATTGTCCTCGTGTACACTCGAAACCTATCCAGGGTCGATCAGGATGTACCCGCGATTGTCCGGACTCTTGCCCCACAGTCGAGCTAAAAGTTCCGTAAGAGGCAACGTTGCTAGGTGTGTAAATAATATTTTATTTGATTTTAAGAAAGAAAGAAAGAAAAAACCAAAAAAAGAATACTTAAATTACCCCAGCTCTGAATTTATCATTATAATATGTATGGAGGAGGCAGAGCTGAGAAGGGCACCTAACATATCAACATACCAACATATGTACCAACATACCAACATACCAACATACCGTAGTAGTAGATCAGAAGCGCCGAGAAATATGATCGGAAACTGCGGCTCACCTTTTTCACTCAGGCGAAAAAACCTTGTGCACGGAATATGTCTAACTGATGCTAGATCTAAAGTTTATTTTCTGAAGGGTACATGCCTAGGTTAGGTAAATTATGGTTTACGGTCTTTTTTTACTTGCTGCACCTTCCATAACAATCAATTAATTGGGAGAGAGTCCCGGGCTTGAAACATTCGGCCGGGTCAAATCTTCCCGCAACTCCACCGATGCGCCGATGAAGCCGTTTGTATCTTTGTATTCGGGTACTTTTAAATGGGCACCTTGTAGGTAATGTATAAGATGTAAAAAAAAAAAAGGACCCTTTGAAAAACTGTGTAGCCATGTCCGATAGGTTAGGCACGTTTTACACACATAGTACGTAGTATACGTAATATACAAATACCTGAATACCTGAATACCTGTAATAAGGCACAGTTTGTATTATTCCGTCCCATTTAGCCCAGATACTAAGCGATCGTATCGTATCTAATAAAATAAAAACAGCGAGTGGCACGGCTTGTAAGGTTACTTATCAATATGTGACAATTGCAAATATAATACATAATGTATCGATTCTTTTAGTCATACCAAAAATATTGTATAATGTTCTTAACGTCCTATTTAAAGTTTACATTGTACCCGACAAATTGGACAAACTGTAACCTCGTGGCTGCTTGGTCGTTGGGGGTCCGTCCGATTAGCTTTTAATGCGTAAATGTGCCTACCAGGTTGTTGATGGTTTTAGAATTATTCCTGTCAAGATAGTTCAAACGGGATGCCGGCCAAGCTAGCAAGAATTAGCAAGAGATTCAACCTTTGTCGGCGACTTAACCTCAAACCTCTCTGAGATGTCTACACAACTACACACTTATATCCATGTGAGGGAATAATGTACGTACAATACATGTATAGAAGATTACCTACCTATCAGGTGTCACTACATGTAGGTATGTAAAAAAAAAAAAAAAAAAAAAAAAAAAGAAGAAAAATTGATAAATTTAATGATATGCTAATGTGGAGCTTATCCAATTCGGGTAACTTTACCCACGCTTCGTGCTACTATGTATGTGTACCGTTCTTGCTCTTTACCTATGTACCGCATACGCAGATATGATATATACACAGGTAGTTACTTTATTATGTATCTTCTAGGCAGGTAGGCATGAATCATCCGTAGCGCCCAGTCGGATTCCTGGTTCAATGTTTTATTACAAAGTCCGAATCACATCATAAACCTGAAGTTTGAAGCTGCACGATGAAATCTAACGGCCGCGGCTCAATTTCCACAGTATCATTTACGCATCCGAACCGTTCTTTTCGGCAGCTCGTGTGTATCATATGTAAGGCTGAACCTGGCTTCCAATACGAAAAAAAAGGTGGCATAAAAGCTGGCATATTGGCGATCGACTTGGTCATTTCTCAGCTCGTAATGCAAGACGAGAACCAGTCGAGCCTCGTCGGATTGAAACTTACATGGTCTAATGTAAGTTATCATTTTATATAGTTAACCATGGCTATTTTCGCAACAATTATTGCCACACCCGAGACTTTTAGCGACGAACTATGCGTTCTCGCTTGTTCTTTGGCAACCTACAACTTATCACTACTACAACTACTACCTACCTACTACCTCAACTACTACATGGCCACGGTACATCGTAGCTTTGCAACTGGGCAAGCATCTGCACTCTGTATTCTCATTCGTCTACACCCCCCCAGCTACTTTCATGTAGGTAGTTGCCAAGATGCCCAGCTATGTATGTAAGTATGTACATATCATCTACAGGGCCCCCCCTTGCAAAGCATCCCCCCCGTTGCCCCGTTCATAAACATCCCTGTCCCTTGCCTGCGTCTGGCTTGCACAACCCCCGGTCATCCTCTCTCTCCCCCCCCTGTTCCTTCGTAGGGACCCTTGGCTCTGTTCGGCCACTCTTCTCGGCGTTGCTGATTACTGTTCATCATCCATTCGCCATTCGCCATTCGCCATCCGCATAGTCCCCATTGATTTATGGTCGCATTCTGTTACTCTATCGCTGCTTGCTGCGCGTTTTCCGACTAACCTGTTAACTTATGGACCTTGTCCCGTCTCTATATTCTATCATCTACTGATCCTGGGTCGCGGGGCGCCTTTGGAGATAAACCCGTATCTGGCCCTACACTATCCAGCCAGCACTTGCATACCCGCTCTTGCGTTTGGCTTTAATCCGCATTATACACATGCTCTCTTATGCTATACTACCTCACGTTTCTCCCCTCTCCCATAACCGTTGCAACGTACGGGCGCAATACACTTTGAAGCAAGCCTGCTCTAGTTCGCAGCCGCACGTCGCGTGGTATTGAACGTACCTGTTATTATACCTGTTATTATTAGCGTTTCCTAAGAAGCAAACGAAACCGAAAACTCAACGCCAGCATCCCGAGAAGCTAAGGGTGCCCAGCTTCAAACGCGAAATAGTCGTCGGCTCTAAGCCTGCTTCTATTTAATCCTTGGACCGAAAAGAGGTAGCCCGGCAGAGGCACGACACCATCTGGGCTTGGCTTCCCGTTGATCCACCCATCCATCTCTTTCGCACAGGTGCCGCCTATCCAGTCGTTATCAACTTCTGTCTGTACATGCTGCCACCCAGTGCCACACCACACACCCCAGATTTCTAACTCGCAGCCTGCCCTGTTCGTGCCTATCATTGCGGTTTGCGATAGTCCCAGGGCAGTTCAACAGCATCTGAAACCAGGAAATTAAAAGAAAAAAGAAACATAGCAATATCAATATCTCCATTATTGCAGATATCAAGGACGAGAGCTTTGCGCGTTGGGATTCTAACGCGACTCTTATATCTTAATCTTATATCTTTATATCCTTATATCCTTACATCTACTTGGCCGACCTTGGAGTCTTTAGACTAAAATAGTCCTCCTACCCGAGAGGTCAATCTTTTCCCCCTCTCTCTCCCACCTTGATCAACTACTGCCACTACCACTACCACTACCACTACCACTACCACTACTACATACAAAAAGCCTTACGGACTTATGAACGGGGCAACTTTCCCGGAGCGAGAGGCAAATCACAACGGCTGAACAAGATCGGCACTAGAAATCAGAACTATCCGTCAACTAAGATTTTATTTTATACTGCAAGAAGAGACAAGAGAAGAAAAGAAAAAGAAGTAAAGACATGAACGAAGAGCCGATCGACGATTTTAACATTATCTTTTAGAAGCGCAAAATCGCAATTCGTTTGAAGTTGGTTTTATTTTATTTGATTTTATTAAACCCCTACTCGAGGGTTTACTTTTACCTACCTACGACGATCAAGGCCATTTTTACATATTATCGTATTATTCGCCGGGCACACATTCCACATTCCACATTCCACTTGCAACATTTCTAACGCAGTAGTACCGAAGCTAGGTACCTGTACTCCCCGGTTATAAGTACATCATACATGCGCTACATACGGAGCTACATACATACGTACGGGTACACCACATACATAAACTACATCCATGGTATCGACCCCGATACGAAGACTTGAGAAGTCGGGTTTGCGCCAAATCTACCAACCACATGCGCGAGTAATCTGCATCGTCCCCCTCGAAGCAAGCACACTTTGCCATCTTTCCAAGATCTACTACCCTCGCCTTGTTGCGCGCGTCATTCACCCTTCCTCCGCCCTTTTATTCTAGTCCAACTATATCAAGACACGTCGCTCTGCAGGCACAGCTTTCTCCACGTCTCGTCCGCCGCCTGACGTGCAACATCGCATCGTCGCCCGAATGTATTCCACCCAGCCTAACGGCGCTGAGGGTGCGACCATCAATCCCGCAACTATCAACCCTGCTGCTCTCAATTCTGGTGAGTATGAGTATCCGCGCATTTAATCCAAGCCTCTCCTTTTTTTTTTGTGCCTGTCGGCCTTTTTTATTCTTTTCCTTTTTTTGTACCGCCGCGCGCCATCTTTGCGCGCCGCTGTTGTACTCGAAGCTTGCTTGAGCTTTTGGGAGCTTTGAGCTCGTCCCCGTAGCCGCCCTCGTACATATTCTTCACAACCAGCCACGAATTATCGTCATCGTCATTATTTATCCGTCACTTCACATTCCGCTCTAGCGAGCACGACGCGACTGTGGTTTGCTTTTAACATAATCACCGTCGCGATGGCCTATACCCGCCTGTCGTTCCGATACCGTTTTCCATTTAATTCAGCCGTCGTCTTGCCATTATCTGATCGCCGATTACTGACCCAACGCTTCTGATTGCGCAGAATTATTGAATCCAGGCTCCCGAGGTCTCAAGAGAAGTCGTTCTCCGGACTCTTACCACGACGCGCCGTTGTCTGAGATTCCCGGAGATGATGGTAAGCTGCCGTCTCGCTTTTGTGTACCCTGTTGATTATAGTTGCCGCTGTGCGCATCGTGCGTTATGTTACATCATCTTGTCGTGCAACGGGCTGCCGCAAGGAGCTACCTGCTAACACCGTTTGCCGTATCGCAGGTGATTCGAAGCAACCTAGAAAACGCGGTCGACCGATGAAATCGCGAATTTCTGGTGACCTCCCGGAACCACCGAATCAGACTCAAATCCCGCCTCCTCCGCCTCCCGCTCAAATGTCGCAGTCAATACCACCACATACTCCCCAATCTCAGAATGCCCCGCTACCTGGACAGCCCGGTGCTTATACTCCGGCTCAAGCATCACCTCCGCCGAAGACCACGCCCACCAAGACCACCTTGAAGGCGCTACCGACAGTGCGCGATCATACTACGGACCAGCTCGGACCTGGTGGTGATGAATACCTGCCGCGCGAAATTGACGATTCCGGCGAGAAGAAGGTTATGCCCAACGGCCAGCTACTAGGAGGGCGAGAGTATAGATGTCGAACCTTCCTTGTCCCTAACCGTGGTGACAAGTTATTTATGCTCGCTACGGAATGCGCGAGAGTTCTAGGATATAGAGATTCTTACTTGCTCTTCAATAAGAACCGGTCCCTCTTTAAGATCATTGCGAATCAAGTAGAAAAGGACGATCTTGTAACGCAAGAGATACTTCCATTCTCGTACAGGTCGAGGCAGATAGCTATAGTCACAGCGCGATCCATGTTTCGCCAGTTCGGGAGCAGAGTCATAGTTAACGGACGGAGAGTACGAGATGATTACTGGGAGCAGAAGGCGAGGAAGCAGGGTTTCACGGAGGCCGACCTTGCAGGAGAGAAGAGACCAGGCGCGTCTAAGGCCAGAGAAGCAGCAGCTGAGGCGAATAGCAATATGGCGTCCCTCCCAGGAGCCCCTCACGGTGAGATTGTATATGCGAATACTCCCCAATTCGGCGGTGCTCCGCAACCCCTTGTTCAACCAGGTATGATGGGACCGCCAGGAAGCTCGACCAGAATGCCCATGATAACAGTAGGACCAGATCTAAACGATACAAGGACTCGAGATTATAGCAATTTCATCAAAGGTGGCCCTCGACAGGAGATTACCGGCCCGGCTTACCAGGATAGGACGCAGTCCAGTCCCATATCGGAAATAAACCAACAGGCACACCATGCTGCCGAATACAATCGAAGCGTCAACCAACAGCGCGATATGCGGACCGACTACATGAACAACTTATGGCGGAGACCTCATGAGCAGCCGCCGACTACTCAACCCGTGACGACCGAGCCTTCCCTACCCACGACGCGTCCCGGCCAGTCGCCTCACGCCGCGCCGGCGAGTATGCAGCCATCCGGCATCGTACCGAACCAGAGCCCGCAGATGATGATGACCGCACCTCCTTACTCGCAGCCCATCCACTCGCAGCAGCCGATCAGCCAGCCGCCGATGCGGGGAATCCCCCAACCATCTTCCCAGAAGCAGTCGAGACCCTCCAATATCCAGCCTGGTGCTTCCGGCAACATGTCTCAAGGGGCCCCGGCATACAACTACGGCTCTTCGAACCAGATGTGGGGGCCTCCCCAAACACCCCAAACGCCTCAGCATTATCAGGGGTATACAACTCAGTCGCAACAGTCGCCTCACCCTCAGCAGTCGCCAGCTCCGCAGCTGCGTCACTCGGGAGGCACTCCCCAGATGCAGCCCAGCACTATGCAGTACCACGGGATGCCAGGGATAGGACAGAGTTATCCCAACCCGGGCCAAGGCATGTACCCCCCTGAGCAGACACCAAGGCAGTTTATGCCCCAAAACCCTGGGCCTGGACCAGCCGTGACGTCGGCATGGAATACCCCGCAGACTTCAGCTGCCCAGACGTGGTGGGCGAGCCAGCCTCAGTGATGATATTCAGACTTTTCAGTTCATAAATCAGAGCCACTTCAAACCCAGTTTGTGGCAACACTGTCACTTACATCTAGGCCACCTTTCGCGCTCTGTACGTTTATGCGAGGGAGGCCTGAAACATAACCACCTTTATTTTATTTTATAACTTTCACACCTTCGGGATGGTTTTTTGATTTGATGGGACTATAAACCTGCTTGCACTATTTGGCCTAGCTCGGCAATAGAGGAGTAGGAGAATCTTTGGTCGCATTTTTGGGAGCTTCACCGGATTTACGTTCCTTCGGGCAAGGTTGGGACTGGTAGGCTGTATTGCCTCTGCGCTTCACGCTGCATGATGAGACTACAGCCAGCCAATCGTTTTGTCAAGTTCGGTTCTCGGACAGCATTTTGCATATACACTTGATACCACCGAGGCTTTGGTCGTTTCTACGCTATCTTCTCATACGCTGTCCTCCATTCGTTTCGGTCAGATGCTTACTTGTTTTGTTTTCTGCGATACCCTTTACACCACAGATGCTCGCCAACCGCTTTGGTTATCCAATCGCGGATTACATAGCATATCATGTTGCTCGCAAGGTGATATTCGAAGAGGTGGCATACGCCCCCATACCTTACGGTACAGAGCGTAAATATATGTTACTTTCTCGCCGGGTCTGGTGGCACGATACCGTTGTTATACCGGCTTCCCGCTGGTCGACTGCTACGAACCCCGGGAAGTTGACCGACAGCATACTCTCGGTCTCCCTTATGGCAGCTTGGCCATGAATTAGGATTGGCGGTACCGGGGGCGGCTCAACCTGGCTGCCAGTACCGTTCCCAGTGCCAGTCGGTTATGGCCATGGCATTGCATAAACGGCGGAGGGGTACATGTTTTTTACGGTCATGGGCTAGGGAGGTTTTTTGTTAATTTTATTTCTACATTCTCCTTTATTATTTATTACTTGGCCGTTGGGTACAATTCTATCTTGTCTTTCATGGAGGAAACTGGGAGCAACGCACGTATCAATCAGTTAGCATTGGAGGAGTTTACTCTGTTTCGCCACTGTTCTTGAGTAATTTCACTATCGTTCGGGCTTGGGTACCTACACAACACGGGATCGAACGGATTATTCGATCAGGGGCGGTTAGACTCTTGCTCATTGATTGAGTTCGGGTGTGGCTGTCTGTCTCTTCTCCCATGAATGTTTTTTGTGGGCTTTCGGAGGGTCGAATTTGCATCATAAGGGATACCGGGATTTATTGTGTCGAGCTTAGGTCGTCATCCGGAAGAAGGGAGAGCCTACAGCCGATTGTGTTCAGATTTTAGTCTAAGCGGAGTTGCGCGTGGGAGGCAAAGCATCAGAGCGCAACAGGGTAATACAAATCAATACTTGTTGGAATCCGGAATCGTCATTTGACTTAGACTTAGATACTTGTGATCGTGTTTTCCGGATCTACGAGGATGTGCTACAAGCGATAGTAACAGTCAGTCCCTCGTATACTAGATGCGCACTTATTGCTACGGATGATGACTATGTACGGTATCCCTTGCGTAGAAGTGCGACGATCACCGGCCAAGTGCCGTATCGAGCTCCAGAAGGAGGAAAGAATCCCTTTGGCCACGATGGATGGATATACAATTACGTGTTTGAATCTCATGATGATGGCTAGCTTTAAATTGGAATGCTACGTAGGAAAGGAAGCTGCATGACGCTTCTCGATCCCTTCCGCAGCACACATAATTAATCAGCCGATGGATGGATGGATGGATGGATGGATGGATGGATAGATAGATGGATAGATGGATAGATGAATCCAGACCGGGCTCTTATATCCATGCCTTGGTCGTACATATGTATACGTTACCTGTGCATACATATATGTGCGTGTTATGTACGTGGATGTATGTACGTTGCCCTAATAAATCATGCTCCACGTCGACGCATGCCATGCCGCATATATATGTGTGTATGTGTGTATATGTGTATGTACTTACTTACATGATACCTACACTACCTACCTACCCATACCTACCACGCCATGCCATGCCATGCTATACATACACACATCCCTCAGGCAACCCCTACCTTAACGTTCCAGGCGTTCGGATCCGACGGGACGGGAACGAGCAAGGCAATAATACGGCGCGTGGTAAAAGGGTAGGAGCCAGACAGCAGAACCTTAGGGCAGGCAATTCCCACGAGAAAAGCACGGAGGGAGGGTTAGGTTAAGTTAGGTTAGGTTAGGTAGGCTGGTATGTGAGATGAGGGAGGGTGGGCAGCTACATAGGTAGCCAGCCAGCCATTGCGTATATAATACATACATATATACATACATACATACATACCTACATACCACACCATAGGCAGGCCACACCACCCATTACCGCGCCGTCGAACCAACCGCACGGAGATCTGACTCAGCCCTACATTACCAATGAGAGGGTACCCCGTGCGGAGTCCCATGCTGGCGCACGTATCTTACATACATACATACATACATACATACTTACTTACTTACTTGCATACCTAGGTAACCTACCTCTTATTCAACCTGGCATATATATATATAAATACAACAAAACTTGCATTTTTATTTCCATAGTTATCTGCTTGCTTACTTACTTACTTACTTACACAACCCACAACGCGCCTCCAATTCGACGCGGGCAAGGACTGGAGAAAGAGAAAAGGGAAGGTTGTCGGGTTTGGGGTTTGATCCTGGGCTTATGTGCGCTTCGTATGCATAGGCATACCTATCTGACGAGTTATGCACTGCAGACTACCTATGCGATACCTATGTATGTATATACTCCCCAAAGAGCGAACGCGCTCTCGGTCCCCGGGTCCGCGATGGCGGATCGGTATCCCTGCCCGTTTCTTAATAAGAATTTCTTTTCTTTTCTTTTCTTTTTTTTCCTATTTTTCTTTTCCCCTTTCTTGTCCCCGGGAATGTACGTACCTAAGTGCCGTAAGAACTTACGGTGGAAACGGCTGCTACGTATATAGGTACATATGTATGCGCCTGCGTTTATATACGACGGGTTTCCTACGTCGATACGGGTACCTACCTTGTGCGTAATAGGGAAGTTCTTGATATGTATGTATGTATGTATGTATGTATGTATGTATGTATGTATGGAAGTTGGGCTAGTTACATACCTCATAGCGGCGGTGACTATGACGATCGTTTGGACCCCGGTATGTACATATGTACACACTACTCGCGATCGTTTGACCTAATATTACCTAGCTCGATCTGCTCTCGGTTAGGTATGTACTGGCGGAGGTTTGTTTCTTCGGCTCAAGCACACGTGCAGTCGATCGCGTCGTGGCTGGATATACATATTCCGTACATACATACCCAAGATACGACGCGGAAGCCCGAGCGTACGGACTCACCGCCTCCTCCTTCTGTATTTTGTTCTTTCGACCCTTTATTTCCTTCTTTCCTTGTTCTCTGGCCTAGCCAGGCCAGGGAGATGGGAGATGGGAGATTTGGGGGCCGTCGAGGCGCAGGGTAAGGTAAGGGTCTTCTGGGCCGAGATTTTGTTCTTGCTGGTTCGTCGGGTATTGCGGGAGTATGTAGTGTGTGTACATGGCTTGCTGGGTAGGTCGCTGGGTAGGTCGCTGGGTATGGTTTCTTATTACGATGGAGTAAATCATACCCGACACGTGGGAGCCTGGACCATTCAAGCAGACTCGAGAACTACTACATATGTAAATCCTCCGGGTTTTGTAGATTTTTGTATTGGTTATTTCCGTACGAGCTACACTAGGTCGGTCGAAATGCTGTGTATGAGCTATCTCGTATCTATCAGCCTGTGAGGGGACATTCATTCACGGGTTTAAGATGCCGAATAGTTACATTATAAGAGTTGGAAGGGATATGATGTCCTCATCGTTGATTCCTCTACGTAGCTGTCCGTGTCCCCGGCTCCTGATATCTCGGTTAACCCTGGTAGGCCTTCGTTTCCCTGCTACCGGTACTCCATACGAACACCCCTTTCGACAAATGATACCCTTAAAAGCGGCAATACGGCTGGTATCGCTGCATTCCTGCATCATAATCATCATCACATATAAGCCAACCCAGATGCAGATGATATCTGACACAAACGCATCCAAGGCTGCCAGACTAGGTGTTAAGATAAGAGCTATGGATATTGTTATATTATTGTATTATTGTATTATTATATTAGAACATATTATATTAGAGCATATAATATTAGAGCATATAATATTAAAGCATATACCTATATCAGCTCCTTATATTTCCTTCTGTCACGTGTGCAGGTTGTGTCCGTTTGCGTCACGCAACCCATGGCCCGTGCTATTGTATCTACGGGGCCCAAGTATGTTGCATAACGAATGTTGCACTAGAAAGTCGCAATGTGTGTAAAAGCAGGGTGTTTCCATGGTTGGTCGAAAAGGGATGTGGCTGAGAGGATACAACGAGACGAACCAACGAATTTTGAGCTCGCTAAGGACGTTATAAAGTATTTTATTTCGAAAGTTGTCAAGATCGCCTAATGGCCCAGCTAGCTCAATGGTAGAGCACTGGACTTCTATTTTCAAACGGTATCCAGAGGCTGTGGGTTCGAGCCCCACGTTGGGCTTGTCATTAAACTTTTGCCATTTGCCGCCACATCTTCTTTGATAATTGTCTTATCATGCACTTCGGCAAAAAATTTTTATACAGGTTCTATACGCTTACCTATAGGGTTTTTAAACAAGAGCACAAATGCCTGGATTGTACACCAATTCCTACGGCTCTAGATCTCTACCGCGCATTCATCTCCTCAACTTCTCTTTATAGTGTCTTGGCTTCCTTTAGTCAACCCCGTATGTGTACGATCAATGTCCAGAACTTGTTTGAGGACTGCTGTAAAGCACTACGCTTCAAATATATTTGATGGCTTTATTTATTTCATTACTCGTGACAGACCCCCCGTAGCTAGTACATTATTCTTAACATGAATAGCTATAAGATGTTGCAACCGTAGTTGTTTTTCAAGATACAAGACGTTAATTACGTACCCAGTAGCCGGTAATGGGTATTTCCCCCTGGGACAAGGTAATTCTTTGCGCAGACAATCACCCCTGCCGTGATAGATACTACCGGCAACCCGAGAAAAATGGTTTGGTCGGAATTGATGGCCGTTTGCTATTCTCGGGTCGTAGGGCAACACAACGGAGACATGGAAGGCCTAGAAGCCATACGGCAGGTTAGAACAATGAAACAAGTAAGAGAACCCTAAGGTATCGGAGCTTTCTTATCATGAAATAGAAGCCACCTTAGAATCTGCTCTCTGGTGCTTCATGAAACCTGAACTAGGTAGACGATTGTAAGTAAGCACGACGTAAATGTAGCATTAGCAAAGTGAAAACCTTTGCGCATGAGCAGTATAGATGGCTTCTACATTGATCAGGAATCCTTTAACTGCTCATATGCAGCTACTGGTGGATTTAACTCCCACACGTCTGTTATGTTTACATCAAGAAGCTTAGCTAAAGCAGATCTCCTCCTTGAGAGCATATACCGTCCCAGTCCAGGGAAGAGTACCGTGCATACTATGAAGTTTCTCGAGACAGTAGTGGATGTTATTGGCTCTGCTTTTGGTGGGCTTCTTTCCGTTGGGGAAAGACACAGCTTTTCCTCCTAATCCTTATCTAAGCGCACAGCAGGACTACTCTGTACGAATTTCAAGTCTACCTTGTGGCCTAGAAGTTCGCGAATATTCGAGATTCCATATTTGATCATCGTAGGCCTTTCCAAGGACAGGCCCCAGCCGTACACGCGTGTATCCGGGCTATAATCAAAAGTAAGAATTATATCAAAAATACATACGGAAGCTCAAGAGGATAGTAAACCAAATAGAGAGTATGATACATACGGGAATCCCATAGCCTCGAGCATTTCGGGCCGGAACATTCCGCTGTTCCCTATTTCAATAAGCTTGCCTAGGCCTTTGTCTGTTACAACACGTTAGTATCTAGCTGAAAGGGGACGAAAAGAGAATACGTTTTCGCGGGACACGTACGATAGGAGAAGATTTCCATGCTAGGCTCGGTGTCTAGATAAATGTCAGCAAAACGTAAATATATACGAAAGCTACTGTAAGCCCCAAAATAACATCCAGGGTCTCATTTTAAAAAATCAGACACGAGGTAGACCTGAAGGAGTGCGTACAAGGATTATAGGCCGGCTTATACTTGAGATCAGTGATACCCATCTTGCCAAAGAATATGTCCATGAACTAAATCCAGTCAGCGATAGGTTCGCTTTTTTATTATAGTTAATCAATAAGCATAAAATACTCACCTCCATGAGGCCACCAAGAGTCAAATTTGCGTCAGCGATGACACCTTCGACCTGATGGAACTCTGCGAGATGTGTTGCATCAACACTCTCATTTCGGAACACTCTGTCGATAGAGAAATAGCGTGCTGGAGGTGGGCGGCCGTCAGGGCCCTTTCTGGCTGCTAGTTTATGAAGCATATTTGCGCTGATAGCTGTCGTGTGAGTACGTAGCACCAATCGTAGCGACTCGTCGCCCGACCAGGGGTATCGGTAGCCGATTGAACCATATTTGCCATCCTATGTCCCGTAAATTAGAAATCCCCCGAACGTTTAGAGGGTCCAGCTGGAATTATATAGAGGATACGTACTTGGTGAACCGCCTTTACGTTCTCCCAGTAAGCGTTGTAGTCTTTCTTGTCATCAGGCGATGTTTCTCGAGGCTTATCAGCTGCGGCAGGATCGGAAATATAGAACTATGCCAAGAAACTGTTAGGAGCTATTAAGGGGAGAGAGAGAGAGGAGGTCCAAAGTGTATAATGAACATTCTCTAATATATTATGGTGGGAAACAAGGTGGTCGCGTACGGTGTCTTGTAAATCACGCGCTGGGTGTTGCTGTGGCACATAAAGGGCGTCAAAGTTCCAGAAACCAGACTCGACAAATCTGGAGAGGAAGCCCACGTTAGCTTGAGCACACCTTCTACCGTTGGAAGTACCTACTTATCGGTGGGCATCTCCTCGAATCCCATCTCAAAGAATATCTGCCTGAATTCGGCGCGAACTTTGCTGAGTGGATGCAATGCACCCGACCGTTGGTCTGCTCCTGAAGCCTTGAAATTATACGGCTTGAATGTAGCAGTCTTCCACGACCCGGTAGCTATCATGTCGGCAGTTAAGTCTGTTGCCTCTTCAGGAATCTTCAGTGCGAACTTGGTGCCCTTATGAATTTTGAAGCTGATAATCTTTTGCATCCTGATGAGTTTTCGCTTCTTCAAATCGACAAGTAGTTTAGCGTCAGGGTATGTTCGTGTCGCCTTAATGGCTAGCATTTGGTCCTTGGTAACATCTTGTATGGATTCTTGCACGGCCTTGAACTTTCCATCTGCATTCATACTGGTTAGTTAGCTGCACCAGCTTGGAAGGACTATTATAGTATATGTATGTATAGTATATATATACGTACCCTTCGTCTTCGATATCCACTTCTCCTTGAATGCCTTTCCCTGGCCAATCTTGACAACATTCTTGTCGCCGATGGCCTTCTCTAGGTCCTGCACGGTTAGGCCGTCGACGGCAGAGCGCAAGGCATCGAATACGCGGGCCTCGTGACTGCCATTGGCAGCAATCAGCTCGCCCTCAGGCTCTAATATAGCTTCTTCTCGTTCTATTGTATCGTAGCTCACCATATCACGAGAAGCTAGTCGGTCTAGAGCAGCTTTTAATTCGACGAAGCTCGCATCCGGAAAGGCTTCGGACGAGAGGAGCGGCGAGGTCTGGTCGAGGGACAGAAGAATATGGGAAGCGAGATCCCCCGATGGGGGACTCGTTGTTGAGGATGCCATGCTCAACTTGAGAATTAGTGCTGTTTCGTTTTCATGCGGCGTTGTGTCCGGGTAGTAGGAAATGTGAAAAAAGTAAGGTTCCCGTATGCTGCATGAAAGCTGGTGTGAGCCTGAGTCACATTTGATAACAGGTAGGTACGAATTAATTGTTTCGCGACTTAGGAACACCCCTCCTTCCCCCACCCCACCAAGAAAGAGAGAGAGAGAGAGAGAGAGAGAAGCCAGGGTCTACCATGCTGCCATGCCCCTCCATCAGGTACGTACCGCTATGCACAACACTGCACGCACGGCTGGCACCGTCAATCTTTTACCGCCTGCCTAACATGGATAAAAAAGAATAAAGGCATCTTATCGATAGAGGGGTACTTGTTGGAAAGCTTGTTTAACAGTAATGCAGATAAACTTTTTTTTTATTTACCTATCGCTATTCTGCCTGCTTCAGAGTCACTCGCCGCAAGACTCCTAAATAATTCTATTTTTATTTTTATTCCAAATAAACTCCCTTCTTCTGATTAAATAGTTATTTAAGCCTTGTGATATAATAGGTAGTCCTACCTAAATTGACACCGGCACCGTACGTCTACATCTACGTCTACGTCTACGTTTTCCAAGCTTTCGCGGCAAGTTAGCAAGATGAAGTATGTGCTAGTCAGCGGCGGTGTCATCAGCGGCATTGGCAAAGGTATTGCCCTTTTTATTCCTGTTTGCTATTTCTCCTCCATTGCCTGTTTTGATTTTCCTTTGTAACTGGCTTGATTACAATAATAATGACAAAATAAACTATAAATCGGCATCAGCTGCTAACTTAATATCTCGATAGGCATAATAGGTATAGCAGCGAGAAATAAATCACTTATACTGCTGGCTCTGCTAACCTTTCTAAGCTTCCTCGTCTGGGCTTCTGCTTAAGACGACAGGTCTTAAGGTTACGGTATGAGCCATGAGCATGCACTTTTCCGTGTCATTTAACGATCATATACTAATTAGGTATTGTGGCTTAGGCAATTAAAATTGACCCGTATTTGAATGTAGACGCTGGTACATTAGGTCCACTTGAGTAGGTGAGATACCTAAGGTGATAAATATATTGCTGTACTGACAGTAGTCGATTTTTCAAGGCATGGAGAATGCTTTGTTCTAAAGGTGAAATCTGACTCTTGGGATTGTATAGTTACTAGTATGCTGATAGAAACTAGGATGGAGGCGAATCCGATCTTGATCTCGGAAACTATGAGCGTTATTTGAACCTCAACCTCACAAATGAGAACAACATCACAACTGGCAAGATCTACAAGTTCGTCACACTAACCTGTCATTTTGTTTTATTTTTGCCTTATACTAACCCCCTTGAAGGGCTGTCATCGAACGGGAACGGAAGGGCGACTACATAGGTCGCACAGTCCAGGTTGTACCTCACATCACAGATGCCATTCAGGACTGGATTCAGCGGGTAGCGAGGATACCTGTTGATGATAGTAGCGAAGAACCCGATGTTTGTATCAGTATGTATTCATGGCCCCTAGCGAGTTTTCAGGCGCTAATTGATATTGGTTTATAGTCGAACTAGTACGTTTTTACGCCACATTTATTGTTATTAGCTACGCAGCTGGCTTTGATTTTCCGGATCTAACTGGCTCCTAATAGGGTGGCACTGTTGGAGACATTGAGAGCATGCCCTTCGTCGAAGCATTAACTCAGTTCAGATATAAAGTTGGCAAAGGAAACTTGGTCAACATACATGTCTCTTACGTGCCCATCATCCACGGCGAGGAGAAGACCAAGCCTACGCAACATGCTATCAAACAGATGCGAAGCGCCGGTTTAATACCAGACCTGGTTAGTACCAAAATGGGTTATTATGTGATATTAGCGACTAAGAGCATCTGCAGATTGCTTGCCGCTGCGAGCGCGCTCTCGACGAAGCTACGACTCAAAAGATTGCCCGAAGCTGCCAGGTCGAATTCAAACAGGTTGTTACCGTCCGGGATATCGAGACTATTTATCAAGTACCACTGCTCCTTGAGGACCAGGGCTTGCTTCACCGTCTACGTGAGGCCTTGATGTTAGACCAATTGTCGATCCCCCCGACCTTGGTCAGCAAAGGCGAAGACTTATGGAAATTGTGGAAGAAGACTGTCGTGACAAAGCCATACCTAGAGCCGGTAATAATTGCTTTGGTTGGTAAATATATCGCACTTCCTGATAGTAAGTATCGCCAATTCATTTATAACCCTGTCCGTTAAATCACAGGTGTCGTCTATTTCAAGATGTATATTATTACTGGAATAGCGAAAACTAACATGTAATATCTAGGTTACCTTTCCGTTATAAAGGCTCTAGAACATTCGGCCATGCGATGCAACCGCAAGCTAAACTTATGCTGGATTGATGCAGAGCACCTTGAAGATGCTACTTTGAAGAGCGATCCCACCATATATCATAAGGCTTGGTCACAACTTACTGTGGCTTCTGGTTGTAAGTAATTTAATATTCGTCATCCCTATTGCAAGAGAGCTGGAACGCGATCTATCCTAATATAGTGGCTGCTTGGAAAGGAGGCCTTGGGCCATCTAAACAATTTCGGGCGCCTTTGACGTGCTACCGGCTAATTCAATACAGGCATCTGCCCGGGAGGATTCGGTGGTAGAGGCGTAGCAGGGATGGTCAAAGCTGCAAAATGGGCACGCGAATGCAAGATCCCTTACCTGGGAATCTGCCTTGGAATGCAGGTCGCCGTTATAGAAGCCGCTCAGAATCTGTGTGGCTACAAGGGTGCTACGTCGGAAGAATTCGATGCCAACGCCGAACATCGTGTTGTCATCTTTATGCCAGAAGGGTCAAAAGAGATAATGGGCGGCACGATGCGACTCGGCACAAAAGCAACACATTTCCAATCCGGGAGCGAGTGGAGTAAGCTTCGGGCCTTGTACGGAGACTCCAGCGTTATGGAAGAGCGACACAGACACCGCTACGAAGTCAACCCGGATTATATCGAAGAGCTCGAGAAGGTTGGACTTAACTTCATTGGCAAGGATGAAACAGGAAAGCGTATGGAAGTGGTTGAGCTGAAGGAGCATCCCTTTTTCGTTGGAGTCCAGGCTCACCCCGAGTTTACATCTCGCGTTCTCGCTCCGTCGCCTACGTACCTCGGTTTTATGGCTGCTAGCACAGGCTGCCTCGACCAGGTTATCCAGGAGATACGGCAACAGAAGAAGCAAGTTAACGGTCTTGTCAACGGTGCGGAGGAGAGCGTTCATTTCTGATTCCGCGGATGATAGAGGAACAAATTTTCTTCGTAATGGATAGCATAGGCTAGAATGCATCCGAGTCGAGTTCTATCAGACTCATTCTTGTTAATGGGAGGTTAAACCTAGAGAGAAACAAAGGAACATATTTTACTTGCCGTCCAGCTATGGAGCTAAAGCGGATAGTTATTTTAAACCAAGGGGACTACTGCGCAATCTGGGTTCGATCTGTTACTGTCATATAACTTCACGCTTGCAAGGTGTAAGTTGGTTTGCATTATGATATTCTGGTTACGTGGTTTACGCATATATACCAAGAGAGAGCATAGAGAAAAAAATATGAAACTTTGATTATAATGAAAATGGGTTCATCAAATGTTTGTAATTTGAGAAGTTGACTTTTTAATCACCACGAAAAAGTAGCTCCACTTTTGCCCGCCGTATAGGTATTATGTACGTATACATAGTATTGTACATAGGTACACATACAACAAGTGCTGATAGTACATAGGTACCTAACATACAAGCATTCCCCCACCACATCTTCAATTTACACAATTGAAGTTAAGCTCACCTCACCTCTATTCAACCAACCCGAACCTATAATTCCTATACTTTCCGCAAGGCAATTTAGGTACCAGACCGTAAACTACACCATGGCCAGCGGTAACAGCGAGACGAGTAAGTTCACTCCCATCTAACTACCTACCTAGGTAGTTAACTATTCCAAGTAACTAGGTTAGTTACCTAGGTTAGATAGGATAGGATTAAATTGGAATTGGAATTGGAATTGGAATTGAAATTGAAATCGAATCGACTAACCCCTCCCCCTCCTCCCCAGTCAACCTCGACACCCTGAGCGCCCAGCAGCTCAGCCAGGTGAAGAAGCAGCTCGACGAGGAGCTCGAGCACCTGACGTCGTCCTTTACCCAGCTGCACGCCGCCCAGTCCAAGTTCCGCGAATGTCTGCGCTGCGTCCAGGATAAGAACAAGGCGCCTGCTCTACGGGGTACGTTTGCTACTGTTTGCTGTTGCTGTTTGCTGTTGCTGTTGCTCGGCTTAGGCACAGCTATGATGAGAAAGCGAGATTTGGATTTGGATTTGGATTTGACTTATAGGAAACTACACATAGAAAACAACTCGATCCTCGTCCCCCTTACCAACTCCCTCTACGTGCGCGGGACCCTCGCCGACGCCTCCCACGTCGTCGTCGACATTGGTACTGGCTTCTACGTCGAGAAGGTAAGAACCACGTGTGGCATGGTTGGTGTGGACATCAAGGACTATGAATTTGTTGACCCGAGCGTATAGGATATTAAATCAGCGGGGGATTTCTACGAGAACAAGGTGGGCGAGCTAGGAGCAAGTATAAAGGATCTAGAAGCAATCGTGCAGGGCAAAACCAACAACGTACGGGTTGTCGAAGAAGGTACTATTGACTCTATACGTCCTAATCTGGGTTTTCTCTCTGTTTTAGTAGCTAATGCGAATTGCGAAACTATTAGTTTTAAGGCAAAAAATGGTCGGCGGAGCGCAGCAGACAGCACCATCGTAAACGGCCAAGAGCTGTGAGATATCCTTGATGGATCTTAGCTCTTAACAAACATCAAAGCCCCAGCGCCAAACTATCAACAAGTAACCTAGGGACTGTTTTGATAAATCCTTCCTGTCATAACTCATGGTCCGAATCTGAAATGGCAAGCCTAGATGAGGTGCTCCAAGGCATCGCGAATGTCACCAATTGTCTGTAGGAAATAGTCAACCCTGTCAGGGCCCTTAGGCATCGTTTCGCCTCGCCGGCCTTCAAGTAGATACTCCAACTCGTCGCCCCAGACGTTCCCAACTACATCCTCTTCCGAATCCCAGTCTTCTCCAAAGATGCTGATTCCAAGTTCGATCTTCGGCACTGCCTTGGCTCTCATGGCAGGGATGCTGTCCCATCGGTGGTTGACTGCGATCTCGACAATGTACGTTGTGGCCTTCCATCTGAATTGATAGATTGTCTTGACCGCGACATGTTTGATTTTACTCTCCATCGCGATCGAGGGTTCCAGCTTAACGCTGGGGTAGACGTCAAGGTCGTGTGGTCGCTCCGAGTTTGATAGTTCGGCCTTGGCGGATCTTAGGTATTGGGTAACTTCTGGGAACGTCTTTGCGCCCTTGTCCTCTTCGGCACCTTCTAATTGCCAGTCAAGGTTCCTGGTAGCGGTGTCAGAGATTGTATATCATACCAATTTATTAATTAGTAGTAGACTTACTTTCCGAGGCTCAAGTTATAAGCATTAGCCTCGGCAGGGTTGGCGTCAAGTGTACTCGAAGTTACACGGTAGATCTGACAAGCCACCGTGCCTCTTGACCTCAGGCTAGTTCTCTTCTTGACCGGTACATCAAACTTGGTCCCCTCAGAGCGCATCTCGAGAGAATATTGCGGCATAACATCTGCTGCTACGGCCGCCTGATTGCCAATAGGTTGGAACGGACCGTTTGTGCTGTTCCTGACAAAATCCAGGACTCTTTTAGCTAACGTCTCGTCACCCATCCTATTCAATCATTAGTGATACCGGCTAATTGCATGAATCTTAAAGGTTCAGGTGCTCACCAGTTCTTCAGCCATCCAGAGGCTCGGGGATTCTTCACCATGGTATGGAAATCGTTGTACCCATACACTTCCTTTCCCTTTGGGTACTTTCGCAATATGAATTGACCCAAGTAAACTCTCAGTGTCAATGACAACTTGAGACGGCCAGCTTTGATCAGCGACTTGTAGAGATAATCGTTCAGTTTCGCCTTATACTGCTCGCGAGTCTCCAGAAGTTGCAGGGCGGCAACAGCATCTTGTCCCGGTTGTAGCATTGGTCGTACTTCGCCGGACACGGGGTTGGTGTGTAGAATGACCTGAGTAGCGCTATCGATTTCGGCGGGAGGTTCCATGAAAACATTAGATCTTCCGATGGACTCGTTGGAGATCAAGTCCTCAGCTACATTCTGTGCCAAGTCGATGTACCCTTTGATGTTCTTGGCAAACCCGTTGATTCTCATGTACGAGCCTTGGCCGGTGTTGCGAAGTTCGATATTGTTGCCATTCGCTCGGCTCAGTTCTTTGTATACGGCCTCGATCACCCCGGAAGCTACTTCTGGAGTGTGAGAAATGATGAAGTTGACCTGGTGTTTTCAAAAAAAGGAAAACCGTATTAGCTATTCTTATTTTCATACAAGTCAAAGCTGTTGACCGAGTTACAAACCTTCATTTTCTCCAGGTTATGTCCACTTTTGTTTGCAGTACGCATGCTGATGATCGGCTTGGATTCTTCTTTGAGACTTGACGTGTCTGCCTGGGTAGCTGTTTCATTAGGTGCCGGCTGAGAGTCGGGAGTGCTGGCGTTTGTGCGGGTGTCATCCATCTTGGTGGTGTTGGCATCTGTTTTCGAGGTGCTACCAGTTGCCTTGGGTGAGTACATCACGGTAGAGGGCTCGTAAGCAGAGGGATTGTAGGCACCAGGACGAAGAACTGGTAAGTATTGAAGTGCAGCTTCCCCGTTGTCTGACCCTTGAAGAAGTAATTCTAAGGAAGATGCGGGTCCACCGCCACGATCAACGTCGTTAGACGAGTCAGAACTATTGAGGATAGGACAAGTCACAAGTTAGTCTCACCCTTGGATTTAAGACGACTAATTATGCAAGGTAAGAGATACACATACATGTCTATCAAGGACTCCATTGTGACTTGCAGCGTAGATATATGTTCCAGTGTGAGGGTTCGAAAATCAAAAGAAGAAAAGACACGAAGGGATAAAGCCGTCAAGTTGAAATTGTATTAAGATTACAAGAGACAGCTTCTATAGATACGTTGTGGGTTTCAAGTTGTAGGAACTTAGAATAGAAGACATGAACAACTTTATCTCTTTGAAAGGCCGACATTGTGGTTAAGATATAAAGTGGCAGGAATCGGTAGTTGCCGTAGTTGCCGTAGTTGCCGTAGCTGTTGTAGTTGTCGTAGTTGCCTAGGACTCTATAAGTAGACGGCGCCTACCTTGATTACAACATACATGTAGGTAGGTGTTGCCATTGTGTGTACCCCTACTACATGATGCTGTAGCACATGCAGGTACCCGCCCCGTAGTGTATAAGGCAAAAAGCTAATCCGTACATGTATGTTGTATCACGGTACCTACATACAATTTGATGTTTAGATAACATAGGTACGTACCTAAGCAAACAATATAAAACCCTCTACTAGGTAAGTGCTTCTTTATTGTTTTCAATCTACTCAATCCGTATTAATGAGGATTCATATAGGTAATTTTGACTATGTTGTCTGCATGGTAAGGTTATACCTATGTACCTAATCAGTTTAATTAATTGTACTAATACGTCACGTGATTGCGCGAATCTGCTATACACGAGAAACCGCGTCTAATCTGCAGGTTACCGCTGTCCACTTACAAGAGCACCTTTACAAGAACACCTTTACAAGAACACCTACCGACATTTGCTTTATTATATGCCCACCAATTAATCAATTCCTCAACTGAACAAGCAAGATTTCTTGAGCGTTTCCCAAACTTGACTTGCATTAATTTATTCTCAATACACCCTTTCGACTTTGGTTGGTAATTCCAGATGGTCCGCCGTTCTTCCAACGTCATTAAGGGGGTCGCCAGAGATGACTCGGATGATGAGTTGGGCGTCGACGATCACCCCTGGGAGTGGATTTACCGGGAACCCGAGTCATCTGGATCGCCTACCAAGAGGAAGAGGAATGCCCATCATAGCATAGTCGGCGCTCGCATGGGCACCTTCGAATGCTACGTTGGCGATTGTGTTCTATTAAAGGCCGATGGCTCCAATGAGGCATGGGTCGCTATAGTTGCCGAATTCCGCGAAGCCGACGAGGATGGAGACAAGGCAGCTAATTTCCTGTGGTTCTCTACTGAGAAAGAGATCCGAAATAGCGATCGGAAGAGAACTGATTTCCTACCGGTTGGTATTTGGTATTAATATATACGGTTCCCTGCTTCCCTTGCTAATTGCACTAAGCTTAGAACGAATTATACATCACGCCGTCTACTGATGTCAATCCATTAGCTTCTATCAACGGCAGAGCCGTGGTCATGTCCCAGCAGAAGTTTGAGAAGGAATATCCCAATGGTAAGGTCCCTCGTAACTCGCCAGGTTACAACAAGACCTTCATTTGCAAGAGAGGATGCAACACGAGGACTGCGACGTACACGGAAGAGTTTATATGGGAGGACGTCTATTCTGGCAGGGAAGGAGATGTGGATGACCTGCTAGAATTGGTACGGAGCGGGACGAGATCGACAAGGAAGCGGCGTAATCATGATGTATCTGCTCGAGAAACGGACTATGTGGCTACCCAAGCAGAGCGAGACGAGGATTGTCCTTCTGATGATGGTGCCCCTCGACCTGTCACTACGCCGAGAAAGAGGCAGAAAACAAAACAGGTCGTGACACCTTCCAACCGCAGGTAAGTACTTGGATGCTTAGTCCGTCATGTCCCGAAATTTGCGATCAAGTGTTATTGACCTAGACTGCTAGAGTTGTGGTGAAAAAGGCATTGGAATTCACCCCGCTTGCTACCCGAATACTTTCTCCAAGCCACCACCAGTCTTCCCCTTTCCAGATTGCAAGGGCTCAATTACACGTTGCGTCGGTACCAACTAGCTTACCTTGCCGAGAATCCGAGTTCTCTTTGGTATACTCGCATCTCGAGGCTGCTATTACTGACGGCTCTGGCGCTTGTATCTACATCTCTGGAACTCCAGGAACGGGGAAGACGGCTACGGTACGAGAGGTGGTGTCAAAGCTAGACGAAGCAGTGCGGTCTGACGAATTAGACGACTTCATCTTCGTCGAAATCAATGGTATGAAGATAACCGACCCGCACCAGTCGTACTCCCTCCTCTGGGAAGCTCTGAAGGGACAGCGAGTCAGCCCGAGCCAGGCGCTAGATCTCCTCGAGCGAGAGTTTAACAACCCGAGCCCTCGACGAGTCCCTTGTGTTGTCCTGATGGACGAGCTCGACCAACTAGTTACTAAGAACCAAAGCGTCATGTATAACTTTTTCAACTGGCCCGGGCTGAGACACTCGCGACTTATTGTGCTGGCAGTGGCTAACACGATGGACTTGCCGGAAAGAACGCTTAGCAACAAGATTAGTAGCCGCCTGGGCCTGACACGTATCACGTTCCCGGGCTACAACCATGAACAGCTTATGAAGATCATCCAGTCGCGGCTCGAGGGCGTTCCGGGTAACATCGTCGAACCAGACGCCGTTCAGTTCGCCAGCCGCAAAGTCGCTGCCGTGAGCGGCGATGCGCGGCGCGCTCTAGATATCTGCCGGCGAGCCGTCGAGCTAGCTGAAGCCGACGTCAAGGGCTCGGACCCCGACCCGGGAACCCCAAGTAAGAGGGCAAAGGCAAAAACGGGCGAAGCAGACAGGACAAAGAGCTCGAGGGGTAAGGTCACGATAGCGACAGTTAAGCGGGCGATCAACGAAGCAACCACGAGTCCCTTGCAGCAATACCTACGAGCGCTCCCGTTTGCTTCCAAGTTGATCCTTGCGTCCCTACTGGTGAGGAACGAGCGGACAGGTTTGCCCGATAGCACCTACGGCGATGTGATGGAGGAGATGAACCGGGCCCTGGTATTAGACGCCGGCAGCCGTCGGGTTGGTTTACTGAGACATGCAACGGATAGAGATTCCAAAGCAGACATGAACACGCGGAAGAAAGAACAAAAGCTCCCTAGACCGGCAGGCATTAGTACAGCTGCGGTCGACCTCACCGGAGCTGGAATCATCATCCTCGAAGGCCAGAGGGCAGAACGGCCGAGCAAGATCAGGCTTGCCGTAGGCGATGAAGAGATCAAGCTCGCATTTCGAGACGACCCCGAGATTCGGGCGCTGGGTATAGCATTCTAATGTACAGACAGATGGTACCAAAAACCAATATTTACGACGTTAATGCCCCCCCTGATAGTTATCATCATCTGTTTCCGTCCTTCGTAGCGCAGAATGCATGTCTATACTAAATAAAGCACGCCCTTAAGTGCGAGCAATACAATACAAATTACGCAATTTCCTTTTATACTCCTAATTAATTAATTAATTGATTAATACTTTTGTCTCCCCAGCGTAGGCTTCCACTCGAGCGGATGCGTCTCCGGCGTCGCCTTCTCATCCTGCTTCCATACCTTGATCGTCTTGTCCGCCTCGCCGACGATAAGCCGCAGTCCCGTGCGGTCGAAGGTCGAGCTCATGATGCCGGCCTCAGCGTCCAGGGACCCCGGCTGGGCGATGGAATCCAAAGCCTGGAACCGGTGGCCGGTCTTCCAGTCCCAGAAGCTCATGGAGCCGTTGTCGCCGCCGGAGAACAGGACGTCCTCGTTGACGGCGAGGGAGTTGATGATGGCGTTGTGGCCGTCGAAGTTGCCCATGAAGGCACCCTCGGGACACTTCCACTGCTTGATGCTGCCGGTGCTGCCGGTGGCAAAGGTGAACTCGCTGGGGTGCAGGGCTAGCGCGCGGACGCCCTTTTTGTGGTGCGTGAGGACGCCCATGGTCTTGCCGGCGGCGAGGTCCCAGAGGCGCACGGTGGAGTCGAGAGAGGCGGTTATGACTTGCGGGTCGGCTTCCTGACACTTGAGGTCGGCGACGGTGCCCTTGTGGCCCGAGAGCACGTGTATATTGCTGCGCGTGCGCATGTCCCAGACGCGGGCTACGCCGTCTCGGCCTCCCGTCACTAGAACGTCGAGGGTAGGGTGCAACGACAGGGTATACACGCCGCTGAGGTGGCCGTGGTAGTGGCGAATGACCTTGTTCGTCTCCAAGTCCCAGCACTTGACCATCTTGTCCTCGCCGCAGGAGAACAGGTACGGGTGTCGAGGGGACACGGCGAGGCCGCGCACGGTGGATATGTGGCCCGTCAGGGTCAACCTCAGGTTCCCCGTTGCGAGATCCCAGATCTTGATGGTGCGGTCGCCGGCGCCGCTGGCAAACCACTGGTTGTGCGGCTCTACGGCTAGGGCACGCACCCAGCCTAGATGGCCCGAAATTACCCTCATGAGCTTCCATGGGGGATGCCAGTCGGGCTTGGCTTGATGCGTGGCCTGCGCTCGGGCGACGCTTAGGGATTGGGATGCGGTGGTGTTTGAACCGGCTGCGGAACCGGCTGCGGCAGCGGGAGGTCGTTGCAGATGGACTAGGGCGTTGGAGTTTGAAGGGAGGTTACTTGTGCCGGACGAGGAGGATTGCGCGATGCCCTCGATCAGCTTCTGCGTCTTCTGGTCTTCTGGAGCGGCCGGGGGTTCGCCCGCAGCTGGCCTCTTGCCCTTCTTCCTGGCGCTCATGGCGCTCGCCTGCTTCTGGGCGAGGGCGGGAGGCAGGTCTCGCACATATTGGTATTCGGCGCGGAGGCGGAGGGATAGAGCGTCTTTCTCGCGTTGGGGTTCGAGCGCGTCGTCGGTCAGCTTGACTTTCTTGCGGGCTGACGGATCTGCGAAGAGCGATTTGGAGCGTCGAGAATTCTCTAGCACGAGAGATTTGAGATCGGGGGTGCCGACCTCCATCGCGTTGGCTGGCTATGGAAGTGTGGTGTGGATGGTAATGGTAATGGTAATGATAGTAGAGATAGATGATGGCCAAAGTTTGGAGCAAATGGTTAAGCAAATGTTTAGATTGATGGCATTGGATCTAAGCTGGGTACAAGTTAACAAGCATTATCGATAAGATTGGATGTATACCGTATATACCGTATAACTCATTAGTTGAATGATCTCTGGTTTTGTAAATATCCCATCCACCCAAGTCCCATATAATAATGTACATTAGGTACCTATTTAGGTACATAGGTACCTACCTACGTACTAAAGTTAAGGTACTTCGATACTTCGGATGCTCGATGTGAATGACGCTGTACCTCAGGAGCCTGGACCAAAGAGAAACCATATTTATTTATTCCCTTAACAAACACTTTCTGTATTAAGCGTCTCATAACTATAAGCTATACCCTGAGCTCATCTCAAGTGATCCCCGGTGTACGACATGGCTTCCGACCAGTCGAAATACGCCATACATGCTGCGGCGAGGGAGGGCAAAGGTAAATATTCCCTTCTATATCACCGAGTCTTTTATTTTATTTTATTTTATTTTATTTTATTTTATTTTATTTTATAGAAGCTATTTACTAACTGAAACCAGTCACCGTCGTCGAGTCTTTACTAAACGTAAGCTCGTGGAATCAACCTAGTTGTCTTAATAAGATTCTAGTACGGAATATAGTATAGCATAGCTAAGGAGCTCAACAGGCAGACCCAAAGCTCTCCCGTCTCAAAGACGACGACGGCCGCCTTCCTATACACTGGGCCGCATCTGCGAACAGCAAACCCATAGTGCTCATGTTAGCCCAGCAGAAAGATTTTGAACCGGATGTTGAAGTGAGTTGCTGGCCGTGGAAGTAGACATGTCGCATACTTCCCTCCTTAACCTCGTCGCACCACTTCTTCTTCTTCTTCAGCTTCGCATGCATGACTAACAACGTCTCAAGGATGCCAGCGGCTGGACCCCCCTGATGATCGCGGCAAGCGTAAAAGACGGCGACGCAGTAGTCGAGCTGCTCCTCTCAAGAGGCGCCGACGTAAACCAGAAGAGTAAGTCTTACCTACCTCGCCTACCCCTAACCATGCCGAATCTAAATTTCCAAAAAGCTAATTCCGGTAGACTACAACGGACAGGTACGGTTGCAGAGCCAATATAGATAGACAGACAGACAGACAGACAGACAGACAGACAGATAGACGTCAGGATGGACTCATAGACCAGGTCATTGACACCAGCACAGACAGCCCTCCACTTCGTCGCTTCCAAGAGCAACCTCGAGGTCGCCCGCAAGCTCCTAGACCACAAGCCCCCGGCCTCCACCCGAGTCAGGGACAAGCGCGGCCAGTATCCGATCCACCGAGCCGCCGCCGTCGGCTCCGTCCCCATGGTTAACCTGCTGCTGCAAAACAAAAGCCCGCTCAACGCGACTGACAGCTCGGGGTACACGGCTCTGCACCATGCGGTTGCTGAAGGCCACGGTTAGTTTCCTTTTAACTACCTACCTCCTAGCCTAGTTATAATGAATTAATTAATTATAACTGCAAGACACCTGCGGCGTGGCTGACAGGATATATAGGAGATACCGCCGTCGCCCTGCTTAAAGCTGGCGCCGAGTTCGACAAGCGGGATTCGGACGGATATCTCGCGTTGGATCTTGCACCCGACAAGGAGGTTCGCAAGTACATTGAGCGGGGAGCAGAAAACGAGGGAATCGACCTGTAATTGGCTCGTATGGATATGGGTGTTGACTATTTGTCATTGATTGAGTACGCTACTCGTAGTATTCTAGGTTACTATGTCTTATACCCCAAGATATTTATTTTAGGCATAATATAAAGCCTAGACGAGCCACTGCCTCCTTATTTAACTGTGCGTTCCACGAGGTCCCTATACATGGCTTTGACATCGTCCACATCTGCACGTAACTCCTCTACTAGCTCGCTCTTTTCCCCGAGCATCTCTAACGTGGTTTGGTACCTTTCGTTGATAAGTGCCACCTCTTTCTCTAGTTCTTCTACTTTCTTCTTGGCCCCCTTTTCGGCCTCCATCTCCTTCATCAAGACGACGATCTCTCCTCGAGCCTCGTCTCGTTGGCTTGAAATCCTGGCAAGCTCTTCCTTAGCTGCTACCTTTTCGCTCTCTAATCGACGGACTACGGCGCTCATCCTCTCGACTAGTTGCACAGACGGCCCTGCTGTCATGGTCGATACCGACATCATATCCTGCAGTACGTTTTGGGGAGACGCAGGTGTTTCGTTTTCAAAAACATCATCCCTATCCATGGGATGCGCTGATGGAGAAGCCAATATCTCCAAGCCACCCGATAGGGATGGCGGCGTCCCTGACGACTGCACTGACGAGAAGGGGAACATGGGTGACCGCATAGGAGGTTGTCCTGATGGCCGCCTTGCCGATGCCGGTCGATCGCCAGGACTCGGGTCGCCATTACTAGAGGGTGCCGATGTCTTGCGTAGTCTCGTCGAATAACTCTGTAGCCCTAAGAACTCACCGCTAAACGTTCTCTGTGGCGCTGTTAATAGAGGAGATTCTGGACGACTAATGTTGCGGAAGGCAGCGGTTGGTATATCTTCTAGCCAGTTCCGTCGGTCTGCATCTGTCCGCTCGGCCTTTTCTTCTTTCCACGCCAACCGCTGTCGTTCGAAATCAGCCTTCGCTTCAGCTAACGAAGCCTCCGCCTCTTCGGCCCGCTTGCGCAGGGCTTCGATTTCTGACCGGTGCGAGGACAAGTCTTGTTGCACGCTGGGTAGTTGGATTCTTGCCTCTTCCAACTCCTCTTCCTGACGTTTGGCCCGAGAAGCCTGATCCTAGGCATTAGTGATTGCGTTTGATTCAGGGGATGCCAGCCACCTACCGTCTCCCGGGCTTTCCGCCTCATTTCTGACTCGCGCCGTAACGCCTCATCTCGTTCCTTCTCCAGGGCCGCCGTCTTTGCAATTAAAGATGCCTCTATGCCTTGCCAATTCTCACTGGCAATGGAATACTGCGTCTGAAGAGTCTCTATCTGGCGGAGTAGCTTCGCCTGCGCATCCCCTATAGCGCCTGTCGATGCCTCTTCTGCTCGGAATCGAAGGGCTTCCAATTTGCTCTCGAGGATCTGGACTTCGCCCTTGAGTTCTAACTCCACGGCACGAAACCGCTCCGCAGCTCTGTCGGCCTTTTCTTGTAGTTCTGTTGCTTGTAACTTCGCACGATCGGCTATTAAACTCTTCTCTACCTCTAGCGTCGCAACCGTCTCTTCTAGCTCTTTTACGTGTTTCTCTCCCGCTTCTCGTAGCTGATCGTTTACCTTAGCAGCCAATGTCTTGGCTCGATCGGATTCCTCCTGCAGCCGATCCTTGAGTTCGGATATTGTATTATCTTTCAAGGAAACTTCGGCCTTAAGCACTTCTAAATCTCTTCTCAGTTGGCTTATTTGCTTTTGTGAATCTGCATTCGCCTTCTCGACATCGCCTTGATCGTGCAGCTTTTTGCGTAAAGCACCGAGCTCTGTCTCCGTTTTCTGCCGCCAGAGTTTCTGTTCATTAAGTTCTTTCTCGACCACGACGAGTTGGCCTCTTAACTTTTTTATTATGCTCCTGTGCTTCTGTTCCGTATTTGCTAGTTTTTGCCCTTCCTCCATCAACTGGGCAATCTGCTGGTCCTTCTCGGCATCTTTTTTATCTGCGCTACCCGCCGGCGCGGCAGCGGCAGCGGTTCTTGCTGCCTCCGATGCTTGCCGGGCTAAATATTGCAGTTTAGCCTGTAGAGCATCAACCCTTTCAACATGGCTGTGGAGTTCTTCCTGGTGTTGCACATTGGCCTCCTCCAAGGTTTTTTCTAGGTCGGCAATGCGCTGCTCATATAGGGCTACAGATGCTGAGGTGTGTTCAGTCTCTACCAGTTCTTCCTCAACTTCGATTGTCGGTGGCTCGGGCTTATTATCTTGAACTTCACCATCAGGTTTTGGTGAGTCATGTAAGTCGCCCTTGGTAGCTTGCCCATCAACTGCTGGAGTTGGCGCACTCACAGAAGCACCGTCGCTAAGTGTAGACGAAGCGGGCGCTTTGCTAGCTGTATCATCCTTCGAGTCTTCTGTCTTCTCGGTGCTTGGTGGATACTGCACCGTGGATGTTGCGGAAGGAACATCGGTGCTGGTACGGGGGCTCCGAGTTGGTGGAGCCGATTCGGAACTTAATCTAGCGGGCGAGGCATCGGCTTTTTGGGCGGCATTCCTTGCGGCGACAGCTCGAGCTAGCCGTTCTTGTAATCGATCGTTGGAGGATCGTGAAGGCGTAGTGGACCGAGTTGGAACGTGGGTTGTTGTAGTAGAAGACGTCGACGGTGTTCTAGTCAGGTGTTGCGGTGATGGCTGCTTTGCCGCATCCTCTTCGGCGAGGATATTGTCAAGGCGAGCTTCGACGCCGGCGACAGCCTGGGACAAAAAGGAGCCCCATCTCGACGACTTCTGGGGAGCTGACATAGCTGAGGCTCTCGGGCCTACGCTGCAACTAGGGCGATAATCTTTAACGAGTGGTTATGTCGCACGTAGTTCGTTCTTCCAAGCAGTCCCGAAAAGGAAGCCGTCGCATTGTACAGAACGGTATGCGCTGATTGCTGATCGCTGATCGCTGATCGCTGACGTGTCACGGCGACGAGATGATGAAACCTAGATCTGTCCTACCGTTCTACTAAGGGTAGAAATTGTAGAAATTAAATTGGGTTCGCATTTGTTTCTTCCTGTCGTTGGAAGACAGCTATAAACTAGACAGATGGTAAGATGGTAAGATGGTGGTAGTCGGTATAAGTTGCCGGATAGGCTGTCGTATAAGAATACGAGGCACTGCTTTCGCGCAAGAGTTTCTAACTAATGCGGATGGATTCTGCGGGTGAAGCTTGGCTGCTATGGATTAATAAAAATAGACCAACCAAAGGGAGCTGTGTGTTTTAAACGCCTAGAAGATGTCAGCCAGTACCAAATTGCAAATTGGAGGATTGCCTTGTTAAGAGAAAACACCCAAGGCGTCATCAAAAAGAGTCCGGGACGTTACGTTATCTGCTATATTGCATATCGTCATTTTAATTGATCGAGCCCGCATATATGCATATAAATATACACATGTACCTAGGTTAGATACCTTTAAGTACGCACTTGCCTTTGATCTATCAGTCTACCTAGGTACCTACCTGGTATATGTATACATGCTAACTAATATACTAGACCAGGGGCCCCAAAGGCCTTTCCTTTACAAGTTAGGTACACTTGCACATACCATACTCACATGTTTTTTTCTAGATTAAACTTGCATCTTCCGTAATAGGCAATAAGTTATACTATAAAGGTACCTAGGTTAGGTAGGTGCCTACGTAAGAGAAGGTATGTATGTCTTATGTAGTGTAAATAGCACGGACATAAGGTTCAGTACCTATGTAGGTATGTAAAGATGTAAAGTACATAACACAGTAAGGTCCGACGTTACCTTGATTCTTACCGGAGTGCCGGAAATGCACTTCTTCAACACTACGAAACTTACACAACCCATTCCATATTTCTCTTCATTCCTATCCACTTAGACGAGCTCAACGGAGACACGTCCATCCATCTGTATAGAAACTCATTCATAACTTCGTATAATAGAACGAACTAGTTCCCTAACAACGACACTTATATTATAAGTCGATTTACCTACCTCGAAACATGTCTATACAGAGCCTCATCGAGGCCTTGAGCTTCCCTTACCATGAACCTCGGCACGGTTTCTGGGGCGAGAAAACGTCCACTTTGAACTTTTGCGAGGAGGTAAGTGAAATCCATACCTAGGTACTCTTCCTGGTCAAAAAGAGTATAAGACTAAATACCAAATCTTAGGACTACGTTATGAGTTACTACTGTGCTGAAGTCTGCAATGTAGGCTTCCAATTTCCCCATTTGTTCCTTTTCAATTCCCTTTATTATTTATTATCTAGTATTATTCTCATCCCCTTGAGCTTGATACATGCGAGGAGAACACAGCTATTCGGAGACTAATTTATCATGTGCGGCGTGTTGCGTTTAGACCCTCACCAATGCTCTCTTCGTATTGCTAGGCCTCAAGGGCATCCGAGGGTGCATCAAATACTCACACCCTCTGATTTTCGTTGTCACTTTTGCTGGATACATAGTGGTCGGCCTAGGGTCTACCTTTTTCCACGCTACTCTTAAGTGTAAGCCAGCGCACAACGGATGATACCACGACCAAGTCTCTCTGGAGCAGGTTTCTCAATGTCCAGATCGTGGCTCTCTAACACTTGATAGATCCTATGCAACTGGTGGACGAACTTGCCATGATTTATACGACTTGTTTCATGTGCTTCGCTACGTTTACATACGGTAGATCTATTCGCTTCTCCTCCCTCCTCGGCGCTGGTCTTCTCTGGCTTTCATGGTTTATAACTGTTCGTCTTGCCCCTTGTCGCTGTTCGTTTAACAGCTAGTCATGCTAACAATACATTGTTAGACAAGATATTATAAAACCAAGGATCCTCAGTTCCATCAAGACGCCTATGCGGTATTGACCGCCACGGTGGTCTTCTCTAACATGTGGATTATGGAGCGAACTCTCCGGCCGGCCCTGAAGGCGAGAGAAGAAAGCAGAAAAAGAGAGGCTCGCGCTCCGAGGTTGCCGACAACCAATGAGATGATAAGACAGATGTGGGTCTTAGTTGCGACAGGTAAGCCACTGATGGTAACGTGATTGGAACTCATGTTAACGATTCGGTTTCTTTATTAGGGCTCAGCATATTCCTCGGCGGTTATCTTATCTGGAACCTGGACAACATGTACTGCAATACGATTCGTAAATGGAGGCACCAACTCCAGCTTCCCTGGGCAGTCGTCCTTGAAGGTCATTCTTGGTGGCATCTGAGTTAGAAAAATCCCCTATTTTTTTTTGTATGCTTCTATGTGGGAGATGGTTACTAATATCCTATATTTCCTGCAGTGACTGGAATAGGTGGTGAGTATAATCCCTACCTTTATCCCGAATAACAGGCAAGTATAAATGATGACCCTAGTCCCCACTAACATGACTGTCTTTATTAGCATACTTCTACATCGTCTGGCGCATTTGGATCCACCGCTGTTTAGACGGTGACGAGGATAAATTTCAACTTGCCTGGCCCTCAATCTTCCGGATGCCAGAAGTAGTCGCCCTTGAGGACATAACGGATAAGAAAAAGCAATAGAAAGCGCGTCAGCCCTACTGGACGACCAGAGTACCTAGGACTCTTGCACACGCCCACCCGAGAACGCGCCATACTTCACAAAATGCTACTTAGCGATAGACGGTAACAATAGATGACAGCGGTAGACGGTAGCGATATTTGATGTGATTACAAACGTACTCGAATAAAAGTTAAACGACATATTCATTCGGCGTTTACGGACATTAGAGGCAGCACATTGAGCGTTGAGTTTTAGTGACTTATAAAGTATACACGAACGTTTACTTTAGGGTACATATACTCTAGAGCCTGTATATGTGGATCTTGACAGTTCCATGCTACATATGTAGGCTAGAAACCTAATAGAATAAATTAGGCCAATTCTATCGCATTGTAACTGTTACCTAACATTGTGATATGGCCACGATTGTGTACATTAAATTGTGTACTATGTATTGGAAAGATGTCAAAAGGTACCTAGGTGTCCTGCATAACCCCACCATCCGCATGGACGTAACCCCTCTATGTACATACATACCTAGGTACCTAGGTACATTGTAATGACATGTCAATCAAAGTCCTCTTTTGCCTTGCGCTACCTACCATTGGAACGTACATGCACCTTAGGTAATGCAAACAACTGGTATAAATCTAGGTTAATAGGTATTATATCCGTCTAGTCATCTACCGCGATATAAAAAATACGTATAGTCTATCTCGGGAAAGCAAACAAGCAAAAAAAAAAAAAAAGGATGTCCATCTCAAACGAGGCATTGCAGAAGGTATGCCATTTAGATATTCATGACAAGACTACAACCACTTACAAAACTTGCAATATATAGTTGCTGCGAGAGGTTGAGACGCAGGCGATCGCAGCGCAGCAGCAAATCTCCCTCGTCAGAACGCAACAAGCATCTAAGCAACGGGAGTTGCGAATGGCGCAGCTGACGCGCAGCGAGATATCCTCGCTCCCAGCCGAGACTAATGTCTACGAAGGCGTCGGCAAGATGTCAGGCCCCCTTTCTCTTCCCCCGCCACCCGTATCGGGCATACTGTTGAGTAACTACTAACCGGAACGCAGGTTTGTCGCCATGCCCGTTGCCGAGATAAAGGGCAAACTAGAGGGCCAGATCAAGGAGGTGGAAGGCGAGGTGGACGGGCTTGGCAAGAGGCTGCACTACCTCGAGGTTTCGCAGAAGAATAGCAAGGACCAGATAGATCGCATGCTGAGGGGCGGTGTGGGCGCGTCTTAGAGGAGAAGGCAACGGTTCTGCGTCCGGTTCGGAAGGGAGGGACAGGGGGGGTTGGCTGCGCTATGTAGCTATATACACGGAGGCCTGCCGATCACGCGACACGGAGCGCTGGCGCAGCAAATGGGGGGAGGGGAGAAGCGGAGGCGTTGTGCTGTGTATGTGTATTGGTATGTAGTGTTGGAAGGCGAACAATCAACCGTGACCCAGCTGCCCAGGCATTAGACCAGTAGATCAGATTCAAACCTCCCGGCCAAGGAGGCTGTTCACCAGTAATTCGTGATGCGTTAGTGCTTATCTTTCTCTCTTACCCGAACATCAAAGCAGCTACTTGTGGGACATGACTACCTACAGTCATAACGTTCTTGGGAGAGAAAATGGGGAGATGGCATGGTATGGATGCGTGTTTCGCCACCGAACTTAGTCACTAGGTATGCAATCCTATCCTTATGCGGCTCACTTTGATAATTACTTCTATATACATATGTGGTTACATATGTAGTTTAAGTACTTGACATTTCTATGGAACTCTTCGATTTTTAAATGTCTTAAATTAGTATATGATAGCACGCATTAAGAACGTTATGTACATATGTACGTTATTTCTGCATATACAAGCGCTTGGAAGCGAGCGCATAACCTTCCCCGAAAAGAAACAACTATAAAAGTACATAGGTCCGTGGTACCTACGTTCCTAGCCCTATCTATTAATAGGTACAGTCAGAAACAAGTAAGGTAGGTACGATGTATCTACCTACGTAATTATTCCGTACATAACAGAACATCCAAGAGGTACCTACCTAGGTATCTATACCCAAGTAACTGCATAGGATGCTTGTTAAGCTTACGCATAACAACGAAGTTCCAAAGTTGTATGTGTGTGCGTGTGAGTGCTAAACGAACCCCACTCTCAGCTCCTCGGACAAGGGACTATAAAACATCTCATTATGTCGTTAGCGTTATGATGCCCTCGAACCCACGAATTGTCGCTCAACTCCGTTTTCAGCCCCCAACGACGGATTAACCGCTAGAGGTACTTAGCTAATGACGAAAAGTACACCATGGACTGTCCTGAACAAAGTACCGCGCATTAGGGCCAAGGTAGGAAGCAACAACACTGGCATGTACCTAGTTGTTAGTAACGAGTGCCGTATAGCCGTATTGGAGGTACTTTGTATTATACAATAGCAGTAGCAAGCTGTACTACATTGAGTGGGTATCGTTGTTTGTCGAAATAGTACCAATCGGTAAGAACGACCCGAGGCAACCTTGGAAGATAACCCAATATAGTAATAACTAAGCAGTTAAGGTGGATTAGAACATATGCGCGCGCCTGCGTTTTCTAACAACGATAAATGAAGAGCGCTTCCCCCGCCTTCGGTATAAGCGCATTATAAGCAGCTGCTTCTTACCCAAGTAGTTCTTATCCATATCCAAGGTGGTTCTTACTGAGTTCTTACTTGAATCTCCCGAACCTCCCTCCCTTATCTCATTTTCCCTTTTTTATTCCCCTCTCTCACCCACGTCCTACTCTACTGGACATACTTACCGTTTACCCGTCTTTTATTTTATATCGTCTATATCGTCTTATATACCCTCTACTGAAACCGATCCGAGATGAGCAGATACAATTCCTATTCCGATGAGGACTCGGACCTCGATATCCGTGTGAGACATCGGCATGCCTCAGCCTCTCCTCGTCCTCCGGCTCCCCCTACCATTGCGCATTATGTTGAGGCTCCGAACCGGTCTCGGCCCCGGTTCTACGAGACTGGTCCCCGAGTTGAGGATCGTTTTCTAACCCCGACAAACGAGCGCACTTTGGTTACCACTAGGCGCTCTGTTTCGCGGGACCGTCGTCCGGGTTCTCCTGGGAGCAGTGTGTCTCAGCCGGCGCCACCTCCGGTCATTATTAACAATCGCATCTACAATCACTCGGACTCGGAATCGCCATCCTACTCCGATTCCGAGGACGAGTATAAGCGATCCCGATCTCATCACCGTCGCCACCGCTCGCACTCTCGCGTCTCATCCAGCCACTCCCGTGACCGTGACCGTGACCGTGAAGTTGAGCTCCAGCGTGAACTCGAACTTCAACGCGAGCGCGATGCCTTTGCGCTCGAGCATGTGCGCGTAGACTATGAGAAGGAGATCGAGATGCGGCGCCGCGAGCATGAGAAAGAAATCGAGAACAAGCGTCGAGAGTACGAGCTGGAGCGTACGCGCAAGGAGCTGCAAGAGATCAAGCTGGCCAAGCAGATCGAGCAAGAAGAGCAGCGGCGAAACCGGACCATGCAAGAAGAGCGGGACCTGCGAGATGCCAAGAAGGAGCTTGATGCGATCCGCAAGGCCAAGGCAGACGACGAGTACGAGCGGCGCGTGAAGCAGAAGCTCGAGCTTGAGCGCATGAAAGCCGAAGAAGCGGCGCTCGAGGAGAAGCGGCGCCGCGACAAGGAAGCCAAGGAGATCATCGACAAGTACAAGCGCGAAGAGGCCGAGCGCAAACTCCGTGAGAAGCAGGAGGCCGAGCAGCGCGAGAAGGAGTACAAGTCCAAGATGCAAGAGCAGCTACTGAGATCCGGGCTCGACGAGAAGGAGATCAACGCTATTCTCGCCGGCGAGAAGATCAAGCGCGAGAAGGAAAAGAAGGAGAAGGAGAAGGAGAAGAAGGAAGAGAAGAAGGAAGAGAAGAAGGAAGAGAAGAAAGAGGAGGAGAGGCCGATTTATACGCGCATGGCTCGGCGACATCTTTCGATTGAGACCCTTAGGGCTTATAACATTGACTTTCAGCTCGACCCCGTAAGTAGCCCTCCCCTAGCTATGTCATGTCAGTACGGGATGTAGATCTAACCTCGAAAACTAGGATCCCGATTACATCTTGATCAAGCGATGGGTGGCAGAGCCAGAGCAGGACATGCTCTGGAGACACACCAAGATCATCCGAGAGAAGCGGTCCAGCTCTACCTCTTCTGGCAAGCTCATCAGTAAGTTTATCTCATCTCATCTCATATCTATCTGCCCAAAATCATAGATCTCCCTGTAATTGTGACATGGTCGATAAAGTAGGTACGTACGCTGACGCTAGAATGAATCCGCAGTGAGCATCGAAGAAGGCAAGAAACACCACCACCATCACCACCTCGAGCCCGAATTCGAATGGGTCCGCAAGAAGGAGCGCCGACGCAGCCGATCCCCCTCGTTGCTCATGTATCTAGCCGGTGGGCGGCCATCATAGTGTGTAGCTAGTTTTCGCACATGTGGAAGCAGACGGGACGGTCGCTGCGATTCGCAGTTAACGAACGAAGTTACGCCTTTTTCCTACGTTGAGGTGAGGTGAGGTGAGGTGGGAATAGTAGGAGCAGGAGCAGGGGCAGGGGCAGGCAGAAACGATCACGAACAAGATTATATACCCAATTTTGAATATAGAGCAGTCCATGTCAAGCAAAGAAATCTTCGATAAGAGCTGCTTTTATGAGGAGGGATTTGATATTTTTCTTCTTCATTTTGGATATAGCTTTTCTTTTTTTTTTATACGTAGCCGGCTTGGTAATCATACATGCCCTTTCGCGTCTCTCGAATATAGCGTAGTCTCTGCCCTCCGAATCAACTCTTCGTACACCATCCAAGCCAACGCGGAACTTATCGCCTTGCGCGTCATGCGCAGAGCAAGTCCGTCGTAGAGCGACCGCACTCCTTCCTCCGCCATCATCTTGCGGCACGCTTGAACCATGTTGCGGTATTGGCGGGGCTGCAGCTGTATGCGCGTCTTGACGGCGTCGAACGGATTCGATATGAAGGAGCACGTCGCGCCCGCGAGCGCGCCGGAACTGAAGTTAATGGTAGCAGACAGGGAACTCCCCATCCCCAGGCTGGCCTGTCCGTGGGCGATAGCCGGGCTTACGTAAAGCCAGGCGCTGAGGCGCTTCTTGAACTGTTCGTACGAAAGAACGTAGAGCCCCGCGTACGGGGCGTCCCGAAGGGCGGTGGCGCCGAAGCCGGCAAAGAAGCCCGGGATGCGCTCGGTTCTGTATATATCCCTGGCGGCGCCGGCAATGGACCTGTACGAATACAAGTTGGACTCGTAGCGCACCTTGATGACGGTCAGCGGCATGAGGATGAAGCCCGCGAAAGCGCGGGCGACGGCTCCGGACACCATGTTGGCGGTGTTGGAAAGTCTGGGCAGCGAAGAAGAGGAAGACCCGTGCTTGTCGACGGCTGGGACCGTGGCGAAGGGGAAGGCCGTTGCGCGCTGCCGGATCTTATTCAGGGTGGTAAAGTAGATGGCCGACCCGACGCCCGTCCGTAGGGCCGACGGGACGGTGCCCCTCCAGAAGGCAGTGAAAGCATTTGGAGACCTGGCAATCTCGCTGATAGCAGCTCTGATCGAGTGCGAGCCCGACTGCTGCACGCGCGTCTTGAGAAGATCGAACGGCTGCAGAAGCACAGCGCTTAACGTGCCCGAGCCGAGACCAGCACCAAAGTGGAAGGCTATACTATACCGTCAGCTTCCTCATTCAAGACGACTATAACAAAGAGATTGTGTTTGTATGTATGTATGTATGTATGTTTGTTTGTTTGTTTGTTTGCTTGCTTGCTTACTTGACGAAGACTTGCCTCCGGCGGTTGTCTTCTTCTGCGACATTGCGGGAGCAAACAAAAAGCCAACGAGCAAATGAGCGAATGAATGAATCCTACCAAGATGGAGGATCCGACTTATAGCAAGCCCATCTGCTTAGGAGTTTTATATATTTCTCTTCCCTCCCGATCCGACCTTCAATTTCCCGCATGGCCCATTGGAAATAAGTGGGATCCGAGTTGCTTTTCGTATGCAAAAGATGATAGCTTTGAGTCAAAGGCTCAGGCTTATTAAAGGTGCTAGTAGCTTTTGGTCTATGAACTTCGAGTTTGCCGTCCCAAAAAAAATCGATTTAAAGGCGAGCCCCGCCAATCCTCACGTCATACTTTGTACCTAGGAAAGCCTAGACAAGTGGGTAGGTACAACGAGCACACCTACATACATAACAAAGGTATGTACAGACAGGGGTTATGTGAGCTATATGTAAGCATAAAACTGCCTAGGTTAAGTTACTTTTATGCTTGCACATGCTTTAGTATACTTAAACCACGGGCTTCGTCTCTTGAAACTACGCTCCGTCTATTAGAGAAAGGCATTTTAAAAAGAGTAATGCTCACGTTAAATTTCGTGTCAATTTTTGGATTAGAGATTGCTCGGAGCGTGCTTTTGTAGCAAAGACTCCCATCTATACGAATGATCTGGTGGTTGACAGGTAATCAATGCTATTTTTCCTGTCTTATTTAGGAAATCTTCTCTGAAGTGGAGAAACTCGGGGTATATAGTATAGTTCTTTATGCCGGAGGTACTAGGTTTGGCGTCAAATCTCAATGGGGATCGTAATAAATATCTATGTTTTGATGGGCTCTGCGGCCCCTTTCTCTTTGCCGCCGACGATTGATTCCAGACGACCTGCCATAAGCCGGTGACGCTTAACTACTTCAACCCATTCGTCTTCTGCTTCATCCCCAACATCGATAGTGGCTAGTAAGATCCCAAAGTCTCCCCCAAGACGCCCAAGACTTCCGGCACAGTAAAGAACTTGTGTCAATAAACTATCACGGGACGGCTGGTCTTTAACAGTTGGTAGATAAATCCGGAGCGTCTCCATTAACATCTCGATAAGGTGAAATAAGAATGTTGATGCTGCGGATGGTACAGGTTGCAGAGGGTCATCATCGGCTGTTTTTGACGGCGTCTCGTTTGTGTGCGTGGGAAATATACTCCTAAACATCGAGATGATAGCAAAACTTTGCTCTCTGAATATCTCTATGTACCGCTTGAGATATCGTTCAGTTTGCTGTCCTCCAGACCAGGCGCTTCCCGTCGGGTTCTGCTGTTGCCGTATCCTTTCCTGCTCCGCCAGCTCACGAAGTGGCTCTAAGGCAGCTAGCATATTAATAAGTGTCGACAGACGGCATACGAGAAATAAAGCTCCTAGCCCTCCACCATTGCCAGTGGCGCCGGTAGTATCAAGATCCGGTATGACTCTCCGGAGCCAGCTGACCGTCCTTAAGGCAGATGCTAGCTTGAGACCGGGTGTGCGTAGGCCCATTATCAAGTTTTTGGCCATGGCCTGCATAGCTTCGTCGGCCTGCGTGGAAACAGATGCCACCAAAGGTGAGTCGGGGTATAGGCCATGCAGTCGACGGATATGGCCATTAAGATCCAGCGCGGATGCATAATTTGCAGCCGGGGCAGAAGAGCCTGTGGAGATGGCAGTAGAGAGTAAAGTAGGGAGGTCAAGCACGTCAACTAATCGTTCGACGTTTCTCGATAATAACAGTGCTCGCTTCCGAGCATTTAGAAGTTCATTATCCCCAGACTTATGGTAAGTAGTTGAAAACCGAACTGCCTCATTATCTAACTTAGGTATGGCGGCCGTTAAGTCAGTGGCCGAGGCTGCTAGAGTAGGAAGCGCAGTGCCGAGATGGGCATGATTAGCTGCCGAGTTGATGATGGACTTGTGAGAACGTTTAGAAAGGGCCTGTAAGGCGAGATGTAGTGAATGAGAAGATTGGGCTAAGGATTGCTGTTCGGAGCCATCTAGTTGAGAAAGGGGCATAGAAGCCAATGTGGAAAGATATTGGAGGGCGACAGGGTCAGTCTGAGTCTTGTCATTTGAGCGATGGTCGGCTGAGTTGGGTGGATTTAATAACTCTTGAAACAAATCAGCCATTTTGCCTGGTGGTGTGGTTCAGTTGGCCACGTGCGGGTTGATTTAGATATTAAGAAATGATATTAGTTGGTGCTGTTATTCCGAGTAATAATGCTAGACAACATTACCTAAGACAACATGAACCTCAGACGGACGGAATGTTGTTTTCTACATGTACCAAGGTTCCATGTACCTGCATTGTAATGGTAGGTACAATAAAGAGCAAGGTACCTACAATACACCTATGTATGGATAGGTAGACCCGGCATACCTACATAAGCCACAGCATACCTATATTCCGTACATAGGTAGTCAATGCCAAGATCAAACTATGGAAGCTACCTCTTAAGTAAATATCAAGCCGGTGGCCCGTGCAGCTACCCTGTTACCTACATAAGACAAGTACCTCCTGTACCCATACCCAACGGTCCCGAATCTGCATGTGGCCGATTACCCGTTTTGATTTTTGTTGAGCCCGGCCGGCACAGCTGAAAGGAAGGAAGCCCCGTATATACATCCACACATAGAACATAACATCCGTAACATCCATAAATGCATCAAAATGCTACACATGTAATAACCTAAATTCGCAACCGGCATCGAGATCCAATCAATACCTTAGCTCTTTCTCTCTTTCTCTCTCTCTCTCTCTCTCTCTACACCTCATATTCACACAAGTCCAGTGCCCTTCCTCGCCTGGTGACCTCTAGCACCCGCACAGGTGCCATGTAGTTGGCGCTACGTGTGCTCTGTCATACGCACCCCCTAACAAGGAGATTATTATTATTATTATTATTATTATTATTCTGTCATTCTGTCAGTCAGTCAGTGTCAGCCTGTCTACCTACATACAGAGGGTAAAAAAGGGCAAAAGGGCAAGTTTTGTCATTCATCAGCTCTTGTCTTACTCTTGTCTTACTTCTACATAGATGCAGCTGACTGACTGACATAATCCTCCACAGCCTTGGGCACCTTTTAATTTATTTTATCTTCGTCATCCACGACTTATAACATCCAACTATCACCTCTTCACCTATTACCTTCGTCTACCCACACCCATCCTGGGTTTACATACCCCCCCCCCCCCCCCTCTCTTCTGCGACCTGTCTGAGGACATCATCTATTTAACCCTTTTCATTCTTCAAACAAGAATCAAGATACCATAGTGGCTCGATTTCCTTAACCCGCATATCGTATCGACGACAAGGATAGAAAATCCAACATGAGGGATCCTTTCCCTATTCCTCCTATCCCCGCCCTCAGCAAGGCCGTCCAACCATGGGCTGACTACCTCGGGTTACCGACCCTGCCTCTGCATATTCACGAGGTCCTCTTGATGGCTGCTCTCTACTTCTTCATCGGCACTGTCGTCTCGCCCTTCCTATCGAGCCGAATCTTCCCTATTAAGTACACAGCCCTTCCCAGGAGCAAGAGGCTGAGTTGGGATGTCCACGTCGTGTCCTTTGTGCAGAGCACCACCATCAACATCCTCGCACTATGGGTTATGTTCGTCGACGAGGAGCGCAAGAATATGGACTTGCAAGAGCGCGTCTGGGGATATACTGGCGGTGCAGCCATGATCCAAGCTCTCGCCGCTGGCTATTTCCTCTATGACCTCATTATTACTGTCTCCCATATCGAAATATTTGGTCTTGGTATGCTCGCACATGCCGTTAGTGCTTTGGCTGTCTATTCCTTTGGCTTCGTAGGTCTCGTCTGAATTATGAACTTCAACTCGGAGAGCTGACTTGAATAATAGCGCCCGTTTCTCAACTACTACAGTAGTAACTTTATCCTCTGGGAGCTGTCCTCGCCTTTCCTCAATATCCATTGGTTCTTTGACAAGCTGGGCATGACTGGAACCAAGCCGCAGCTTTATAATGGCCTGATGCTCATTGCTACCTTCTTCTCTTGCCGTCTTGTATGGGGCACATACCAGTCTGTCATGGTCGCTCGTGACTTGTGGTCTGGTGTAAACTCGACACCTACCGTTCTAACGGCTCTAACTCCCGACGAGCTTCTCGAGGCATCATTCCCTTCCCAATATACGAATACCATGCGATTTGTATCTCAACCAGATAGCATCCCACTATGGCTTGCCGCGGTATACACTGCCAGCAACATAACTTTGAACTCGTTGAACTTCTACTGGTTCTTTAAGATGATCGATGCCGTTCGCAAGCGGTTCGATCCTAAGGAAAAAGTCAAGATTGAGGAAAAGCCGGCAGAAGGCAAAGCTGTCACCACTGGCGCCCAACAACCAGGCGGTGACGAGTTAAAGACTCGCCCGCGCCGGCGAACTTTGCTCGACGGAGAAGAAGCAGATGAACCCCCACCAATCTAATATTTCCAGTAGGGAAACACCGATTTTCTTGATTGGCTCTCCGGCGCTATAATTGACTCCCGAAAGTTCCGAAGCAATCTCTTGGCCTCTTTACAACCAGGCGATAATGTAGAAGCCCCGAATTGAGATGTAGAGACTTGGATCATCCCTTCAAAGGAGAAGCCGATATGGATGGAAGAGGGGCTTAGCCGAACTGAGTATCTGGTTCTAGCTTGCAAAGGATTCGTGCGGATAAGGGGCTTCATGAATGAGGTTTATGTCATTTCCGCTAAACCATTAATCAATAAAAACGAGGAAAATTGCAAATAATAATATCATTACGAGTTGCTGTGAAATAATTCGACGATTTCTTGCATTATACTATGTCTATGCGTTTTTAACTCTGCAAAGCCCACCATACTGTCTAACAATATGCCGATCTTACCACCGCAAAATAGCGTCAAAAAGGACGTCTTATAACAGCCACCATAGTACAGCACAGCATTCTACTATTCTTGATTATATCATATCTAGAAAAGTCAAATGTGATAAATATAAAAAAGGGTAGTAAGTCCGGGATATACGAGAAAATCCAACCCCCGAGGAGGAAGAAAGAAAAAAAAAAACATACAACACCGGGGATTCGCTGGTCGTCACCGACCCAACTACTAATCCGGCGGTATCCGGTTTATCAAGGGGAGAGCGGACGGGATCCCGAGTTTTCCAGATCCTATGGTCGTATGTGGGAGTTTTGTTTGCTCTGTACGTTTATATATTGCATATCTCGTCACCACTATCCACCGTCAACATGCCCAAGGAATACATATACTCACTGGGTAAGTAGGTAGGTAGGTATATACAACTAACTAACCAACTAACCTAACCAGCTCGTATAGTTTCCACAACATTATTATTATTGTTGTTATTGTTATCACTCACCATCAGACAAGAAAGTGAAATCCACTGAATTACCGTAATCTACATTAGGTACTTATTTATATAGAATTAACTGCCCCCCTTCTCCCCCCTCCCCCCTCCCTCCTCCCCCCCAAGCCCGCAAGATATATATATATATATACATACACACTTCATGCCAGAACGACGTCCAGGCAGTAGACACCCTCCAGTGTTCCTGGCTCAGGTGGGCAGTAGTTAAAAGTATATATATATATATATAATAATAATATATGGATAGAGAAGAAGCCACACATTCTCTTTTTCTTTCTGTCTGTCTGTCTGTCTGTCTTTCCGTCTTTCTTATAAGTAAACCGTGTCCAAACAACGTCTACTTCCATTCCCGCCTCAGCCTCTATCTCTGCTTCGCTTCTGCTATACATGGCCCCCTATCCTCCTCCCGATCCCCTCTCCCTTGCTTGCTTGATTATCTTAAAAAAGACCTCTCCATGATGATCCTCCCGGTCTCAAGATTAGGTTTTACCTCTGAGCTGCTTGAGGTAGATAGATACATTTTAGACAAGGCTCTAGCGGCGCGATATGCGATTATTATTCAGGGCCCGACTAGACTAGACTAGACTAGCATCGTGCTCTAATACATTAAGCCTACCGCCCGCGTCTGAATAGATTACCGTTGTTATCATCAGCCCTACACCACGGCTGTTTGACTAAAGCACCCTATACGGGCGGCCTCTAGAAACCAAATGGGTTCTGCGGAGCTGTATGATGTTAGTTGGTAATGATTAATGCATATCAAAGGGAGAAAACACTTACTCGCTTGGGCGAGGTTCGCACGGCGTCCAGTAGGCTGGGGGACAATTTTATCTGTAACACCGAAGCGCACGGGGGGCGGAGGACCTGTCTGCTGGGGGAGAAGAGGAGCTGCGGGAGGCTGTTGAGGTTGGGCCGCTGCGTTATTTAAGCCAGGATTGAAGCCTTGACCGAAGCCACCAAAGCCGGTCTGCTGCGGTTGCAACGATGGCATGCCCGTGCGCTGAGGCTCCAGCGCGGGAGGGAGATAAGAGTTGATACCGGTCTGTTGCGGGAACTGTTGTTGCGGCTGGAAACCACCCGGAAAGCCCGTGGGTTGGTTTTGGATTGGAGAGAATTGTTGAGGACGAGGATCTGCGAATGGGCTCTGTGTTTGTGGCACTCCAGTCATTTGAGGTTGCATGAACTGTCCAGGCCCAAATGACTGCTGGCCGGGCATACCAACACCCGTATTGAATGGCATCATACCTTGGCCAATAGGTTGGGGCTGGAAAGAGCTCATGTATTGCTGCTGCATTCGCTGTTGGGTGAGGTCGTTCAGACTCTGTCCTGGGAGTGCGATACCTGTCATCTGAGGTTGCAACGGAGGTGGCGCGAACCCGCTGGGCTGCACAGACTGCGGTGCCGATAATGGCCGCGACGGCGGTGGCGGCATTAGAGCACCTTGAGCGCCGGTGACTTGAGGTGGTGTAGGTCTTTGCCTATTACCAAGACCGAGATTGAGTGGTTGAGCTGACGCTTGCGGGAGACCTGTCTGCTGTGGCGGGATGCCTGTGAAGAAAGCCGGCGTTGCTCCCGGCTGTTGAGGTTGCGTCTGTGGAGGCTGCATTTGGGGTTGCGGCTGGGCTTGGGGTGGTGGCAGATTTATAATAGGGGATGTAGCGGTTGGCTGTACCTTGATCGGCTCTAGCGGAGTCGATAGGAGGGAAAGATCTTGCATGGATTGTGTTGGTGGTCGTTGAGGTTGAACAGGCGCGGCCGGGGCTGGTTCGGGGGTCGGTGCTGGTTTCGCTTCAGACTCGGGCTGCTTCTTGGCCGGCTTTACGTCCCAGGCGTCGTCGTCGAACCCGCCGCCACCGCCGCCACTCTTACCAGCAGCCTTCGAGCGAGCTGCAGCGGAAGAGGACGACTCCGTATCTTGTGCACCGCCGTCTTTTTGTTGAGAAAACGCCTTGGAATCTATATTGTCATTAGTCTGTACAGCAGGAGCGGGACGGCCTTTTCGAGTATTATTCCGGAGTGTCCCACCCGGCCCCGAGAAGAGACCGCCAGAACCATCGTCATCGTCCCCAGAGAAGCTGACGCCCTTCTTCTTGCCATCACGGGCATACTTCTTATCCAAGTAACGCGTAACCTTGATGATATCGCCTTCCCGGAGGCCAAGATTACGGAGTACACTCGCATCCACATCAGGCAGAACGCTTTCATCCATGGAATCTTTAGCAAAGGCCTGAGCGTATCGCTCACAAAGGCCGACAGCAACATCGCAAGACAGGAAGAATTGAAACCAGTCGTAATCTGGCTTCGCCGGCTCGACAGACGCACCGACTTTGCTAGACGCGGGCTCTCGGTTCGAACTATTCTTTGAAGGCAATGCGCGCTTAACTTCAGATAGGGGCTTGTCTTCGTCTAAGGACGCCCCTGTGATACGTTCGACGTACTCAATATCTTCGATCGACATCTTGGCCACGGGAACAGCAATTTTGACCCCGTTCAGCTTGTGTAGGTTAATCTTCCCATCCTTTAGGCCGAGGAATTGGGCCTCGACACTGAATGACTTGGATCTGTCTGTCCAACTTCGTACTTTAGTCGGATCTGGCTCTGGAGCCGTTATTAGCATCTTCTATGTCACGAGGACGAATTGGTATGACTTACTAGGCTTTGAGGAGGAACCAGCGCGGCTGCTTTCTGATCGGCCGTTTTCGCGTCGGTTTCGCTGTTGCCCAGAAGTGTTACCATTATCTCTCACCAACAAACTACTACGCCTCTCAGGCAAAATCATTCCAGGCCCTACCTCTGCTGCTTTTTGGTCTCTCTTGAGCGCTTCCTTAGTCAAGCGTGCTTCTTCCAGTCGATTCTGTGCCACGGTAGACTTGCCGGCATTAATACCCGATGTCGATGTCGTTGTCGATGTCATCGTTCCAGTGATTTCGATATAACTGCTTGGAACGACCCCTTCTTTTCCGCTTTTGAGGCGTCGGACTTGCCACCATTCTTCGCTCTTGGTATCGTCGAGGATCATGACTTCGTCTCCTATAGCAACTGTAACTTCATCGTCTCCCTGTGCTTGGAAATCGTAAAGAACTTGCCCCTTCTTCTGGGCACTCTGGCCAGTTCCGGCCATGATAACCTCCCGCAGACCTTCTGCCCGTACAGCTCCGGCCAGCTCGCCGAGAGCGCTGACAATCTCCTCGGCAGTATCCTTGGCGCCCGCATGGAAATCTATACTCTTGCTCGGCCGAACGAGCTCCAGAAACACGTGCTTGCCCTCTCTCGAGTAATGTGTCATCTTCTCTGCAGTCCACTCTTGACTTGGGCCATCCGAGACATGCTCAGGAGCAATTAGAATAACCCCCGTTTTTAAGTTTACGCCTAATGTTGTGGGCATCTTCTTTTTCTTGCCCATTATAGACACCATCTCGTTGATGTTATATAGATGAAATCCGCCAGGAGCGATCCGGCCTGACTGTGGTGGGTAGACCTCATCTTCGTACTCGCGGCGGCTAGAGGACCGCTGCGGATGAGCTGACGCACGACGTTGTTCGTCACGGCGTTGTTCGTCACGGCGTTGTTCGTCACGGCGTTGTTCGTCACGGCGTTGTTCGTCACGGCGTTGTTCGTCACGGCGTTGTTCGTCACGACGTTGTTCATTCGGCATACTTGACTGGGGCCGTGGTCGTACCGGCAAAGCGGGACTTGGTTCGCCATCGGATTCTTCAGAGAGATATTGCTGGCGAGGAGGTATAGTAACCGGCGGAGGCGTTGCCGCACGAGTAGACCTTTTATTCTGCATCACGCCGGCTAAAGCAGCTGCCGGACCCGCCGGTGCTGTAGGGGCGGCTGGAGCTCTTGCTGGAGGGGTTCTGTCCGGAAGAGGTGGGCTCTGAGGTTCTTCTGACTCGACAGGAGCAAAGGAAACGGAAGCTCGTGTAGGTAAGGACGGGGGTTTCGTTACGGGTAGAGGTTCGGGCTCAGGTTCGATTTCGGGTTCAGGTTCCGGTGCAGTCTTCCGTGTCGTGGCCGGAGCTGGGGCTGACGCAGCCGCACCCATCTCAATATAATTTGCCGGAGCGAAGCCATAATCCTTCTCAAACCCAACAAGAATCCAATCCGGATCGGACGTATCATAGACTTGTAATGGGGCATCTTCGGGGAAAGACAGCTCTTCGTCGGTCTGCCGAGTGTATTCATACAATGCACGAGCTTGTCCTACAGGCGGTGCCTATAAAATCTTAGCACATCATGTTACGAAGGACGGATAACCCCGTCCATGGTGTGATTATACGCACCTCCTCTACGTAGTTGTTAGGTACCAGGCCGACGGGCTCATCTTCGTCGTCGGCACTGGCCTTCTTCTTGGCTTTCCACCAATCATCATCCGCACTCTTGTCCAAAACATAGAGAATGTCGCCTTCACTTATTGATAGCTCTCCCTCGGATTGCGGCGCATAATCGTAGAGTGCCTTGTAAACACCCAGGAACCCCATGGTGGCTAGAAGACGTGCCGAGGGAAATTCTGTTGTAAGGAATCTATTACTGAGGGGTCCGATTACAGTTGTATCAGGATCGCATACGAAACTAAAAGCGAGGGTAGGGTTACAGGGTTTCGTGCGGCCGAGGTAAAGGGACCGAAACGATGACGAGGCTCACGCAGCTCGAGATGGAAAAGCGGTTGAAGCGGTTTGTCGGTTAAAGTAGCAGCAGCTATAAGTAAAGGGGTTAAGTTCTCCGAAGCTGAAGAGCGTAGAGCGTAGAGTGCAGAGAGGAATCAAAACAATTCAAAGATAGCCTCCCTTTAGACGATTATTAGATGTAAACGTAAACGTGGAGATGCGGCAAGGTGCGCAAGGATACTAGGTTAAGTATTTCCCAGGGGTTTATTATCATATCAACGTTGCGAAGTCGCCATACGCAAACATGTTACAGATGCACTCGCAACGGGTACTGCACCAGACGGCCAACGGGCAGCTTGGTAGAGTTGTGTTGTATCTCGGGGTATCGAGAAAAAGAAAGGGAAATATTTTGATAGTCAAGTAAGTTGAAGGTAACACGACACAAGAGGGTCGACAGAAGAGTCGACGGAAACTACTAATGACAGTCGCAGGTCGCAGGTCGCAGGTCGGAGGTCGGAAATCGGATTGAGGCGGAATTGGTTCGTTTAAGCAGGTAGGACCAAGACCTGCGAATTATTAAATTATTAAACGCGCTAAATTAGACACTCAGACACTTCGAAAGCTGGTTCTGATGCTAAACTTCTCCAATACCCTTTAGTACCCTCTAGCTCTAACATCTATTAATTACATATAGTAAACACACGTGGTTGTATATGCATGTAATATACACTACGACAAAAAGGAGCTTATCTATTTTATGGTTGTATTATGCAGATGCACATATATGTACGATAAACATACATAACAGATGTACCTATGACATAATAGCATTGATTAGAGATGCTTTATATTTCTTACTTATTCCCACCTGAATATATTATACTAAATGATATTAGAATTAGTATCCTAATGTATACTGTATTTTCCTCGGTAGCAAAGTTAAAGATAATAAAACCGGCTAAACGTCGATTCATTCTTGATCAGAGCAACCTCTATTCCCCAGACCAAGCATTCATAATGGGCCAAAGTCTACCCTCATCAAGCTATATATATATATATATATATATATATATCCCTTTACAATCTTAGTCCCATAACTCCGATCCTCCTTTCCACCAGGTTAGTTAGCCTTGTTAGAAGCACTGCGGACAGCACCCGTATATATCATCACTTCCATGCGTCCTCCAATTACGACGGATGCTCCCATGCCTCGACGCTTTCGCCGTCATCCTCGGGATACATCGTATCGCGCAGTCCCTCCGGGGACCAAGAGTCCCGCTGCGAAATATTAAGTCCAGACCCCGAAACCGGGAACGACCGGTTGGTGTGAGCATCAAAATCGGCTTGTGATGCCGAACGTGGTAGATTCCCCGTGCTAAAGACGTGAGAACTAGCGTCGAAGTTCGCCATGACGGATGAAGTAGGCGATGCGGGGGTCTGGGTTAAAGTGATTGCTGGATGGTGTTCGAGAACTTCGTCTAATTCAGATGCAGACGTATAGCTCGAGATTCTACCATGAAAAGGTCAGTGTCGTGTAGATAGGGGAGAGGCTACGTAGTACTCACAAACGATGCTCTTCAACCCACGTATGATACCTAAATTCTTCTCTTCGATCAGGTATGTTAGTCTTCTTCATGCTATTTCCATCCTTTCCTGGTAGATTGAACTTGTCTCCCAGCCACTGCTGCTTGATGGAATATTCATAACCACTCTGCTTCACCGAATTCTTAGCAAGCTCGCACATGTCGACCGGGCTCAACTTATAGATTTGCGCCGCGACAGCATATTCTTCCATCAACGGCTCCTTTGTAAACGCAAATTGGAGTGGATCGTCCGTAGAGAGTGATACGTTCAGTCCGCGTCTAAAATACTGATAGAAAGGGTTCCTCTCGTAGGCCAAGAAAAGCGCGTTGTTGCTAAGTGGCGACATCGCAATACCTATTTGTTCAAGGTAGAAAATATATTGCAACAGAGGGACCTTTCTCAAAAGCAATCCGTGGCTAATGCTATGGCTGCATAGTACAGCAACGGCCAAATGCTCGCTGTCGCCCGCCTCTCCGCAGTGCGGTCGAAGCAGGAACGTGTTGAAGCCACGCTGGCGACGCCAAAAGTTGAGCGATGTCATATTAGCGAAGAGATAGTAAATCCAATAGCTGTATGGAGGGTTCTGTTTAGAGTTCCACTCCCTTGGCACGGGGAATTTTTTGTACAGTCGTCGCTCAACCTTACTCTCGTCATCTACGCTGTCGAAACCGATAACTCGCTGCAAAAAGATGTGAAGTTTCGGGTGGCTCTCTGGATCCTTGGTCACCTCGAAAAGGGGTTGGAAGACGTTCTTTACCAGCTGTTCAAACGAGTCCATCAATTCGGTAGCCTTGAAGACGTCGTACAATCGTGGGATTTGTATGAGCCAACGAACATTATGTGAAAACAACTTGTTATCGACAACCCATGCAGCAAGATTGTCCCACTCATCCAAGGACCTGCCATAGATCGAGATTCGCCATTCCACCATCTGGTATTTGCTGGACTCGAGATCGGATATGACTTCCTTAGTAATTTCTGCTAGATACCGACCTTGGATGAAGTTATCCGTCTTGAGGAAAATGGTTCGCAGCCGCGATTCACCAATGGGGTTATACTTAAGATTGAACTTATCGAAGCGATGGAACGAATCAGTGTGAGCCTAGCTCGAGGTTAATATACGTTTTCATCCGAAAGTCATGCCCGATAATTTATATTATAGACTCACATGCATATCTAGAGTGTCGATGCTAAGATCGTATGCAGTCAACTTGAGACTCTCGAAGACTTCTTTTAGCGTGAGGTTCTTACCATCCCTGAAGAGCACGTATTCGTTCGGACACTTCTTCATCTTACTTTTAATGAACCGCAAGAGATGCTTCTGATTCATGCAAGCGGAGTGATGAACGTGCGTGTCAACCTTTCTTACGTTGTAGAAATCTCGATGAGGCACCTTTTTGGTATCTGCGGTCTCCTGGTACTCATTTAAGAGTACGTATAGGTTGAACTTGGCCTCCAAATACTGAAGTCGTCGGAAAGCAAAGCTTTTGCTCGGACCATCAGACGAGATAGCTAAGAGTTCTTCTAGATCCATATAAAAATCTTTAATCGTAGGCACTCCCACCACCGGCGTGTTGGCTTCACCAGCGGCCTCGTTTTCAAAGACCTGGTAAACGCCATTCTCGTCGAGGCGAAAGACGAACTCACTCGCTGGAGGAAGAGGTAGGATATCTGCTATTTCGAAATCCTCGCCGATATCATGGCCGGGCTTACGCTTCCTTGATATTCGTTTGGGCCGGACATCTGCAATTGGAGGTCCAGAATCACCAGGACGTTGAGCACCAGGCTGGGCAGATAAGACAGTACTATTGCTCAAACTGTTATTTCCGGTGTTCACGCCATGATTATCCTGGTTTGTATCAACCCAGGCCGGCTCCGGTGGGGGAGGGTAAATATCCCAGCTCGGGTCATCCTTGGGATTATCGCCGTCTCGTTGCAAGGACAAGCGGATATACTTATGACGAATGTCTAAAACCTTCTGTATATTTTTGAAAGTGATGCTTAGTTCGCTCTTCGCGAACTCATCTGCTTCGGCAGGCAGCACTGCCTCTGGCAATATCGCCTTGACGCGTTCCTCCTCAACAGTGCGTGCTCCCATGCCGGCGTTTACCTGATGGAGGTTGATCTTGCCATCTGCTAGTCGCTCGTTGTCTATAGGATTGAGCGGGGCCTTGACGAATGGCAAGGGAGTAGGGTCGCTTGCTGGTGTTGGAGATTGGGTTGGCATATATTTTGTCTTTTGCTGACGCTTCGGCTGTCCCCCTGATTCCTCTGATGGGTCTTGCTGGACACCAATTGCCATCGTCTTGCATTGGAGGGCCTGTAAGATTTGATCCAGTTTAGCATCGGTTTGATCGTGCCGAAGCTTGTTTTCGGCAAGCATATCCGCAATGTTTCCGGCCATGATATCGATGCGTGTATTGGCTCCCTTGAATGAGTTTGCGAAGTCCGACGGTGGACCTACGAAGGGGTTGGTGCTTTGTCCTGAAGACTCCGTATCAGGGATGTCTTGATCGGTCGACGTCGTGGTGATCGTCGTTGATGCGGGAGTATATAGATTGGAATGAGAAGAGATTTTTTATTTTTTTTTTTGGCGCTCTGCCTGCGCAAATAGCTATTTGTGTCTCTTAGAATATCAACACTAGCACTCGGGATGCCTTACCACTAGCCGTAGCAGGTATCTAATTGAGTCTCGTAGTGTATGATATGATATATTGATGATGAAAGCTATCTACTATTTACAAGGGTATCTACACGTACAATTATGTATGTGTATTCATGTGGGGGTGATAAGTATATCACATACTCCTGGTCTGTGGGTAGTACATACATAGTAGGTGTAGGTGTAGATGTTGGATCCATACAGGTACCTACCTAAGGTTCCTAAGGTAGGTACGCATGTACCTGCATGTACTCTAATTTTTGGGTTATCTCATATCCCATATGGTTAGTCTCATCGGATATAGCGCATACCGTGTTGATATTTTTAACAACATAGGTTCCTAGGTTAGGTACACAATGGAGGGGCAGAGGAGGGGCATTAGCCTGATAATCCAAAGTCTTGCACATGTTTATATAGGTATATTCTTAGCACCGTGTTTCATATATTTCTCGACTTACTGATACTGTATGCACCATACGCTAAGTTGGGTGACTTATCACTATATTTATAACAATATTAGCTAAACAAGACCGTGCGATATTTTCTACTCGCACGTAGCTATACCAAGCTCAAATGTTCAAGACTTTTGATAGGATACCTTAAGTGCACCCATGTCATTACAAATGTGGTATATAAATATATTTGTACCTTGCAGCTAAGTACCGGCCTCTCAGGGATATGTACTTACATGTATATACCTACTTTATCTTTTATAATATTTTCACCAATGCAAAAAAGTCCCAGTCATAATAAGACGCGAGACGATGGCGGAGTGTACGGGAGTTGAACCAGTTATACTTGATATCCTATGTGGAATTATGCCGTTTCTAATACACCGAGGCCTCTGCTACGAGATGCAAATAGCATATATTTTCAGTTAGTCAGCCGCTTAACTAACGGCAAAATATTTACAGTTCATGAGATAGATTGATTAGCATCGTCTGCTCCGGCCTTCTTATCCAGAGTTGGCCAACTATTTAGCTTCACTCCGTAGGGACCGTGATTCACTTCAAGAGCAGTGCATATTATAAGAACAATCCGCTTAGTAGGCGCTGCTACTGCATTGTATACTGCATTGTATTAACAGGTCTGCGAAGGAAGCCAGACAGCGTATAGAATCCCAATGTATCCTAGCCGACTATCCCGCTTTCCCACTGCTCGCCTTCGGCTTCGGAGTTGGCTTCTTAGAATCTAACGAGTACAAGCCACCTGCGGAAAACACCACAATGGCACCTATTAGAGTTCCAGTGGCCAACCGATTCCCAAAAAGCCATATGCTAAGCAGTAAACTGACCAGCTTGCGAATGTTGAGCACAATGGTAACAGTCAATGCGGATGACACGGCGGCTAAAAGATTGACGCCTCGGATACAGGCATATTGTGTTAAAACGTTGAGAACAAGGTAGGCCACCTGGCTGGGAATGTAAATTCCTTCAATACGATGTCGCACATTGGCTGAGACGGTCGACAGGTTCACATGCTCTGCTAATAACGGGAGCGCAAGTGGTTTGCTATCGGCCAAACGCTTAAACTGATTGACCAGAGACCGCGAGAACGGTAAGAATAGCGGCAATGAGAGCAGATGAGAGTAGAACAGATTCTCCTTCCAATGCGCTCCGTAGATTCTATACGTTTCTTCCGTGTATAATCCCATAATAGCCGATAAAACTTGAGCGATCAAGAGGACCGCCAGGCCAGTGCTAAATTTGGGAACGTTTTCCTGGGAATTTGAAGCGGACGTTCCCTTGCTAATGGTTAGTTACAAGCACTGAAGGGTAGAAGAGAGGATTCTTGCCTTGGACTGGGCGTCTGACCACGCGGCCGTGACAACACCAACCGTAAGCAAGAGAACAGCCACAATCTGAATGCGAGAATATCTCTTTCCGTATAAACTCCCAGCGATCATCGTTGTAATGCTGCCTCCGGATCGTAAAATGATGTGAACTGGTACGGAAATATCGTAGCTGAAGGCGTGATTATTCAATACATTGATGCTAAAGAACAGAATGATGTTGATTAACCAGCGACGGATCGGAACTCGGTTCGGTTTCACGAAGAAGGGTGGGCGCGTAATATCGAACTGCGAGACGTATCCGGTGACAGCAACGAAGAGGAACTGCACGAAAGTCAAAAGCGTTCCTACGAACAAAAGCTATTAGTTTTGTTCCCCGGTGAGTCATGTATTGTAGAATTGCCATACCACTCGCCGGTTCAACCCTAACGACGTTGACATTAGCTAGGAACGCAGCCGAAAACCCGGATTGTAGCCTGCAGGAGCTTACTTAATAATGGCCTCGAGAGCAAAGACCTGCGAAGTGCGGTACAATGTTAGCTCTTCATCACGAGTGACGGAAAAAAAAAAAAAAAAAAAAAAAAAGGCCGGGGCCTGGTCGATCTTACGTTCGAACAACAGCCGCCAAAGATTAGGCTGAGCATTGCCCCGACGGCTAGCCATTGCGGAATAGTTTCGATGAAGATACGGCCGGCGAGACCCATGAGTTTAGAGAAGGTCGGGCGTTGGTCGTCTATTCCGTATAGCTCAGCCTTCTCGAGAGAAGGCCCTGCGTTGATGACCTTGGGCGTCATGGTAGCGCCATTTCGTGAAGCGGCATGCGAATCTCGCAAGGTTTGGCGTCTCCGAGGTGTCGACCGGCTCGTCATCGAGGTTGGAGTTTGAGGGAAAATATAGAATAAGGGTGGTTTTATGTCTTGAGATTTGTTCCTGCGGGATGCGGCAATGTGTCAGTTGCTCCCGGCTATTTTAGCTATTTTAGCTATCTTAGCTATTTTAGATGGAAGATCACCAAAATGTTGTTGTTTACTATGTAAGGTCAAGATGGTACCAAGAGCGGGAATAAGTCATCCGCTACTATGGCGATTCCTTGCATCTAGTTATTTGATTTGGATAGTTTTCCTTGGGGGAACAAGTAGACATCAGTTTGTGTTAATTTTGTTTAATTTGTCCGTCTTGTCCGTCCGATGATCCAATGATTCAATGGTCCAATGGTCCAATGGATGTGGCTTAATTTTATAAGCACTGGACCTAAGCACCTGCAACATGCACTTGACAGGTTTCACTGTCCGGCGTCCGCTGTACATTAGGTACATGTAGTACGCAGCTGCGCAAATCGTCGCAATCTGACAGTACATGTACATGTAGGTGGAAGCGACACCTGTGCATATCTACCTAGGTACCCGTCCTGCCCGTAGTCCTATCTAACCTAATAAGCTTTTCACACCCGGCGCCTTGTCCGAACTAAGTTAGAGAGGACTACGGTAAGTACCGAGGTACCCATGTATAACAACGTCGGCAGCAGGCCTATGTATGTACTAACCTAACTAAACACAACCCATATTCTACCCATATTCCCGTATAGAAACCATGAGATCCCCATTAGGATATCATTTCTATTACATGCCTGATAAATAACGTGTGGGATAGCCCGGATACCCATGCCCGGATTTTCGGCTTGCCGCCCGCGGAGGGTTGCTTCCGTATTGCACCACCGAACTCCCATGGACGTGTCATGCGTAGAAGTTACTTACACAGCCATGACTAACCTTAAAGATGGTTTCGTTTTACAACTATCTGACCTAGAGACTTCATTACACGTCTATAATGCTAATCATGACTATAGCTGCCGACTCACCCCTGAAATACAGGTCTATATAGCTCTATGCCCACATGCCTTGCTACTTTTATTTTGGCCAAATCCCAAATCAAGACTTATATCGACCCAACAAACGTGATGGCACTTTAGAAAACTATCCCTGGTGGATGCTAGGTAAAATAGTGAAGCACTGTTGGGTTGGTTGTTTACTCCGGATTCAGAGATGTTATGTCATGTCTATAGAACAACACGTAGACTTGCTCATCAGATATTCGAGGGAGGTGTGGGCACACAGTTATACATGCTTCAGATCTCATTTGTCTTGAGTCCCGTCTTATGGTTTTTAGTCTGCCTTGTAGAGTCTATGCCATGATATTGGGCCCCATGTCTACCGACATGAATGCAACTGGCTCCTTATGGGATTCCGCTGCTGAGTGGCCATGCTTCAGTCCTCCCAACATGTCTTTACTACAATTCCTGACCGCCTAGTGTGCTAGGCTTAGGGTAAAGTCAACCTCCCGTATGCACCTTCTGTGTCGTAAACCCAACGTGTTCTCATTTACAACGCATCCACTTTCGTTGGGTAAGCCAGCAGTCTCACAAATACTACAAATAGTCATCTACGTCCAAAAGGACCGCGCAACTATCAAGGAGACAGACTACTGGCAATGGCGACGCATCTCTACCGCACATCGAATCGGGAGGTTCTTCCGCAGAGCAGGAACGCCGGGCTGCGAAATATCCGGCCGGTACCGGAAAGCACCGTTACGCCCTTAGAGGGCCGAAAAGACGAATAACTGTACCGTACCATATTAGCTACCGCTAATATACTCGGAACATTTGAATATCATGACTTACATTGTTTGTTGCAGCAATGGCGATACTGTCCTCGAACGGATGCCAACTCATGTGCAGGATTTTCTTGTTAAAATCAATCTGATCTGCGTCTGTCTCCTTCCGCATCCGCTGTCCCTGACCCGCTCCGGCCGCCGGGCTACCCGCACGCGATCCGCCCTTCTTACCGCCGTTGGTCGCTGTGGGGCTCGTCGACGAGTTGATAGGCGTCGGGATGCCTACTTTCTTTGCCTTGAAGGCTGACTTGTCTGCTTGTAACACGACCTCGATCTCCTTCTCGGGGTCCGAAGGATAGATCATGAAGTTGTTATTATAACTTCCCGTCATGACATTTTTGGCGTCACCCGAGAAAACAACTTCAAACTTGTCGAAGATACTATCGTTCTCGTACGTGTCACACAGCCGCGGCCTAAGGTGCTCGTGAATAGGTATGGTCTTGACCGGTTGGCGTTCCATATTGACATCCCAGATCTTGACGGTGAGGTAGTCTCGAGATAAGATGTATCTGCCGTCGTATGAGAAGCGCACGTCTGAAATAGAGGAGATGATTTCGGAAAAGAACGATCTTGACGACGGATCCTCTTCTTGTTCAAAAACTAAATAACGTCGTTAGCTGGCGTCGCCTATAAACTATATAGATGAGGGTTCATACGTTTTGCATGCTGATCGCAAAGGGCACTCTCCCGCATGTCTGCTAGCTTGATTGTGCCCTTCGAGCTTGCGTACATAAACCAGTTACAGCTAATGGGGTGGAATTCGGCAGCAGTAATGACCTCAGTCAACTCCTCCATATTCGCAGGCTTGATGTCGACAATGTTGAAACTCTGGTCCTGAATATTCAGATTCCAGAGGTTGATCCGCAGGTCGTCGCTGCTTATGAATGTCTCCCCGTCGCTGTTGACCGAGATGCTGTTGATGTGATAGGCGTGAGCATTCGCGTACGTACGTCGGGGAACCGCAGCGACGACAGTATCGTGATGCGTCAGTCGTGGTAGCTTCAACTCTCCAGCGGTCTTGAAATGCGACTGAGGAAGAACTCTAGGAGCACCTCCTCCTACACCAGCAACATTGCCCGGCGTCAGGTCGTGAGACAGGTTGTTCTCAGCTACTACTTTTAGTGATTTCTCGAAAACCTTCCATAGCTTGATCGTTTTGTCGTTGGTGGAGAGCAAATAGTGAGAAGCATTCTGACGACGACACCACTTAATCTTGTTGATCTTCTCTTCTATCTCTAGAGATTTGAGGTAGTCGAATTCGGGCTCGTGTGACTGGAATTCGGTGTGAAACTTGTATTCACACGTTTTTTTCTGTAAATTAGATCAGACTGAATTGCTCTTCGTGGTATGCTAAGGATATTAACTGACCGTCTCGTTCCTCTCAAACAAAACAACTCGGCCGCCTTTGTCTCCTGTTGCTAAGTAATTACCGGTATGATCGAACTCGACGGTTGATATGATATCGGCTAAGAATCTCATGTAAGCGTAGGAACACCCAACCTGCTTGGTCTATTGATGAGAGAGAGGCCGAGGGGCTGTGCGATCTAGAGCTCGGAGAGAAGCCCACGAAAGTTTTGAGTCAAAATAAGAGGCACGAGAAATATACCTTCCGTGATATCTTCAACATCTCCTTTGTCACCGAAGCACCTAGAGGCGGGCAACCAGAGTCAGTAACTGTTATCAAGTAGACAGCTGACAGTCATAGAGGATAGATGCATGAGAGTTGGTTTGCTGCGGGTAGGACGTGATAGTGGCGATAAAAGCTACGAGTCGAGTAAAAATCGTGAAAGATCCTTTATACAAACTTACTGGGTGAACTTCCAGGTGGGAGAGTTTGAATCTCCTTCCACCATATTCGCGATGGGTTGGGTGTGAAGCTACCTAAGCTCCGACCCGTATTTCAGTTCAGAGGAAGTATATGCGGTAGATGGACTAGCGTATCGCGGCCGCAACTAATGAGGGCTCGGCGATGGGCGATGGGCGATGGGCGATGGGCGATGGGCGACGGAGGGTTGTTGATACGCGACTTTAGGTGAGGATAGACCGAGAAGCGTGTCGAGGTATGTTGCGGCTGCTGGAGACAGGTAAGGCTTGGTAGGCTGGTGGTAGGCTGGGATGTGGGAAAAGGTAGTCGGAGGGGCGGGTCTAGGGCGGCGGGGTGTTGTACGTATTGACGGCCTTGGAGGGTTAGAAAGATGCAAAGGACCTTTAGGCGGATGGTGCGCTCGCTCCCAATGACTTTGCGGTGGGCGAGATCAAGGAATGGTGCTAATATGAGACTTCAAGTCAATCAAGAAGTCATGCACAACAATTAAATGTGGTCGGAAGCACCCGCTGGCTATCAGGAGGGGGGAAATGATGGGGGGAAAAGGATACACGAGCTGCTGCAAAATGACGGCAAAACGTAGTCGTTGGCTTTTTTGGGTGAGTGATGTGATGCGAGTAGTAGGTAGTACGTTCTGGGTTATCAGTTATGGGTTATGGGTTATGCGCAAGGGTCTAGGTTCGCAGGTCTGGGTCGGATTTGGGGGGGAAGAAGTGGGAAGGGTGATTTGATTGATGGTCGCAGATGCGTAGATGCGTAGATGCGTACCTAAGATGCGTGGTCGGCTTATGTCAGTCAGTGCGGGCTTGCCGGTTTAGGGTCTACGGTCTACGGGCACTCAGTGCTGTATCTTGGTATCTTGGTACCTGGGCAGCCACGAGATGATGCTTACCTTATGTACCTACAGAAGTGCTTTATGTACCGAATTGCCATCTACCACGCAAGAGTATCTCTATTGTCTTAAGCAGAAAGGAATACATAATTCATAATGAAACGATTGATTCTAACCTCCCACACGCATTATATACTATATCCTACGTACCGTATTTTCTAGAGCATATATAAATGTACCTATACACTTATGTTATATGCGCCAAGAATTGTAGGAGGTAGTAATTATTTTCTAAGCTTACATGTATTGTACAGTTTTAGCACGTTTGTCCAACTCACTGTAGTGTAATTGAATGTTCAAGTACCACACTCAAGGTTGCGGGCATGGAGAAAGTGTGGAGCCCCAGGGCAAGAATAGGTACCTAACCTAAAGTACCCCCTTGCAGGTACCAAGCTGCTATAAGAAAGCGCAAGAACTGTCTACCTAGGCATGTACATGTATTAAGTATTTAACAACGCAGAAGAGCCTCGAAGAGGACTCGAGGATAAATAGACGACTAATCATTCATGTACCTAAAGTACTTAGACAGTTGCCTACATATACTGCTGACCGGGAGACATCCACCGATCTATAAAAAAATAAAAAAAATAAAAAAATAAAAAAGCATGGTTATTTTGAATAGGTAGCCTGCATAACCTGCCTTAACTATTTCAAGTTTATATACGAAGTATGACATAAGTGGTACAAGATGAAGACAGTCATTCTTGTGGGAGGGGCGGCTCTGTAAACTTTTGTCTTCTACATTTAAGCATCTTTAAGCATGTATGTGTTACAACCACCGCATTACTTATATTAATGGTCAACCTGACAATGCTCGGAATTTTCTACCCGTAAGCATGTCAAGTTCTGTAGGTATGATTGCGCCCATTGTTACGAAATAATCCGGCTTCTTTACAACTGGATCGGGAAGTGTTGCACGTGGCACGATTCACCACAACTCTTAATGATTTATTTCTTTAGAATGTTACCTAAATACGTGGTCGGGCTTTAAATTAAAGCTTATATGTGATCTCGTATAGTAACAGGAATATTCGTGTAATTACATGTAATAAGTGCTTCATGTAAACTCTAAAGTACCTAATACATGTATGTATGTAGTTAGTTAGTTGCTCTTATATTATAACTACATGTAGGGATACATATAATGTATGAGTTATGTCATGAGGATTAGATAAACAAATCGACGTCTTTGTCGTCACATGCGAATAAAGGCGGCTAAAACTCGATTAAAGGTTAATATACCTTGTACCTAGGTAATTTTGAGCTACATCATTATATCCCCTTCTCTCCATCCCCAAAGCCGAACCTTACCGAAGCTTACACTTGCATCTATATATATGTACCTAACATAGGTATGAATATATTTAATAACTACCTGGGCATAACTTACAGATCTACAAATGTAATAAAATATTCATCTCTCATTCATATCCTCGGGGTTCTCTTCCGAGTAGAAAGTTCATGAAATTTTGACTTAATCATACCTCTATTAATAGAGCTTAGCTATTGCAACTGGATAACAGTCATAATCACTGAGTTGCGCCAGTGAGGGAGTCGGCATAACCACGATGGATAAAGATAATAGCGAGAGTACAACCCCTCAGGACGCAAAAGGAAAAGGCATTGCAACGAAAATAGATAACTTATCGTCCGAATCAACAGCGCAGGATGGGCATTCAAGTTCTGTTGGAGTAACCTCAGACGCGGCCTCGTTCATATCAAGACTAAGTGCATCCGCGGGCAAACTCACTAACGAGATGGTCTTACAACATCCTAGCGGCGCCTCTCTAGCAGATGTCTTGCCCTCGGATAAATCTGAATCCTCTAGATCCGGGAGAAGCGCGGGCGTGAATGAGACGTCAATATTCAGGAACAACTTCGCCCAGGGGACGATTCCAGATACGTTTAAATCTATACCGAGACAGGAACAAACAATCCCAAGTGAATCCGGCTTCTCATCTTTTCTCAGCAGCACAAGTATGTTAGGAGAAACGGATCCTAGCGGCATCAAGATCGGGAGATACAGACAGATACACGAACCTGCACTTGGGGAGACACAGCAAACTAGACCAATAATCAGCACAACTGATGGCATGGACGTTGTAAATTTTCTCGATCTAGGGTATGACGAGGTCGAGGAAATAGATATGGCCTTGACGGACACCGAACAAGCAGCTCTACGTCATCGTCTTTTCGAGAATGGCGAATCCGGGGAGCATGCTTCAAGGGGGCGGTGGGACGATGCTCTGAACTTTTTTCCTGGTCTTGGGCCGAATAGTAATAGCATACAGGAATATGCTGACTTGCTTGGCACATCAGATCTGGAAGAGGCTAAGAATATCTGGGTTAACCAATGGCAAGGGGTCCTCTCCAGTTATACGGATGAAGTATGGGGAGAGCTCGGGTCTCTCGTAAAAGTGGCTCGAGAGGAGCTTACTAACATTTCAGAGCCTCATGAAGAAGCCTCGCCTTCGAAGTTAAAGGCTGTGCGAAGGCTTCAGCAGCTTTTGAGTCATATCCGCGGGACACGGAGTGCCGAAAGCTCATGAGCTCAGAACAAGGCATGTAAGATATTCTTTCACTATTCGTCGACCCGGAATTCGGGGGGGATATATGTAAAGTCTAAGGGAACCACTGTATTATAATCATACCTATGATTATATGACCTTCTTTAAAGATAATTGCGTTATATAATAACGATTGCATAGCAACTGTGTAGGACCTAGGTTAGGTAATTATGATACCCGAGGTTATAACTTTATTAGCTAGTCATATATACATAATAATTCACCCTACACTATTCCTACACCCCATAGAAAACCTGTCTTGGACATCGTGAAATGATTGGAATGCGATCTGCCACTACAATTCTCCCGCGATAGACGGTTTTATATTTCTTTCCCTCCAGAACGTACGAGAAGAAAGTATGCACATAGCCAAGGATAATGGAGTTGTAGGGATCTAAAGTGGGTGCCGAGTTGGCGATTGGGAGAAAATCTTCCCGTACTATGTAGATGCCTTGGTCCATGCTTGGGTCAAGCTATAAGGTTCCAGTCCGTGCCTTTTATATGCATGCGGATGGAAATGTACCTCCAGAGCTATCTAGATACGTACTTCGGTCTTGCCTATCTGACCTAATGGGACATGAGGTGATTGGGTGACAAAAGATACGAAGGTGGGACTCCGAAAATGGGTACTTTGAGGTACGCTACCTACCAGCTTCAGTGTATTAGTATTCAGTGTAATTCAGTGTAACTTAGTGTAGCGTCATGTATATCTCCTCCAAGTGCAGGACCCAAAGGTACATAATGTACATTAGGTACTTTACATATGCGCATGAAATGTAATAAGAACCAGTCTGGTATGTGCATATGGAAACTTTTAGCAGTACATGATATTTCCATATTTTTCAACGCCTCGTCGTTTTGCACCCACTGGGCTGCAACACATCAACTCTACATTTTTTCCCTCATCGCTGGATTTGAGCCTTTTCTCTAGTCTATCATAATCACTTTACCTGCGTCGTGCAGTCTCTTGTGTTTTATCGGTCGAGAGTTTGTCTTACCGGTGGCGCCTGCGATCCTTGTTGACGGCAGATAATCCGGTACCCAACACCGTTTTTTGTTGTCGGCGATAGCATCACAGTTAAGAAAAAAAGAAGAAAGAGATCAATTATTCTCTAATTTGCCATTTTTAAGGCCGATAGAGAGCTCAGCGTTTCCAAAAATGGCTGCTCTAGGAGACGACCTGTTGCGGATTGTGAACCAGCTTCAGGATCTAGTCTTTAATACAATTGGCACAGACTCCCTCGACTTACCTCAAATCGTATGTCCTGCGCCTCCAAGACTTTCCTGCTTCTTTTTTTTTTTTTTCGGGGTTTATACTCTCACGGCTGCTTACTCTCGTCTAAACTATAGGTAGTCGTCGGTTCGCAATCGGCCGGCAAATCTTCAGTGCTTGAGAACATTGTTGGCCGCGATTTTTTGCCTCGAGGAAGCGGCATCGTAACCCGTCGTCCGTTAATTTTGCAATTAATCAACGTCGAAGAGGACCCGTCCGAACCAGATCTACAAGCCGCTTACAAGAGTCCCACCCAAGCACGCCGCTCCGAGTGGGCTGAGTTCCATCACACACCCGGTCGAAGGTTTACCGATTTTGCAGATGTCAAGCGCGAGATTGAGAATGAAACCTCTCGTGTTGCCGGCAATAATAAGGGCATCAACAGACAACCTATCAATCTAAAAATCTATTCCCCTCATGTTCTTAACTTAACCCTGGTTGATCTGCCAGGTCTGACCAAGGTATGCTCACCGCCTTCAAAAGAAGAATTACTTATTTGGTGACTGACCCTACGAGCGATAGGTTCCCATCGGCGATCAACCAGCCGATATTGAGAAACAGACCCGAACCCTCATTTCTGAATACATTGCCAAGCCCAACAGTATCGTTCTCGCCGTCTCTCCAGCAAACGTCGACATTGTTAATTCGGAAGCTTTAAAACTTGCCAGACATGTTGATCCTCTGGGCCGTCGGACGATCGGAGTTCTCACCAAGGTAGACTTGATGGATCACGGTACAAATGCGTTAGATATCTTATCTGGCCGAGTCTACCCGTTAAAGCTGGGCTTTATCGGTGTGGTTAATCGATCACAGCAGGATATTCAGGGCAATCGACCGATGGAAGATGCTCTGAAGGCAGAGTCGGAATTTTTCCGACACCATCCTGCTTACCGAACTATCTCTATGCGATGCGGGACTCAATATCTAGCCAAGACCCTTAATCAGACTCTTATGGCACACATTCGGGAGCGACTACCGGATATAAAGGCACGTCTCAACACGCTGATGGGCCAAACCCAACAGGAGCTTGCAAGCTATGGGGATATGCATTTTAGTGGAAAGGAGCACCGAGGGTCTATGATTCTTCAGCTTATGACTCGATTTGCTACTTCTTTCATCTCGTCCATTGACGGTACATCTACTGACATATCAACTAAAGAGCTGTCTGGAGGTGCGCGAATCTACTATATTTTCAATTCGGTGTTCGGCAGTGCATTGGAGACAATCGATCCCACCTCCAACCTCTCTGCTCTCGACATCAGGACCGCCATTCGCAACTCGACAGGTCCTCGCCCAAGCTTATTTGTGCCGGAAATGGCCTTTGACTTACTCGTCAAACCCCAGATTAAGCTATTAGAGCTCCCTAGTCAACGATGCGTCGAACTAGTATACGAAGAGCTGATTAAAATATGCCACACATGCGGTTCAACAGAACTCTCTCGGTATCCTAGACTTCAAGCCAAACTTATCGAGGTCGTATCAGATCTTCTGAGAGAGCGGCTGGGACCGTCATCATCTTACGTCGAGTCCCTTATTTCCATTCAACGGGCTTACATCAATACAAACCATCCTAATTTCTTAGGGGCCGCTGCGGCCATGAGCCATGTGGTTACTAATAAGCAGGACCGCGAAAGGAAGAGGTTAATCCAGGAAGAAAGGGAACGCCGGGAGAAGAAGCGGCTTAGGGAAATTGGAACGAATGGTACTGAGACACCGAACGATGAGGAAGAACCTGATCATGATAGACATGAAATTTCTCAGTCGCGAAAGCCAGCTGGAATAGGATCGCGAAGCATGTCGCCTATCATCCGCGAAAATGGAACTTCCAGCATCGCCGCCGCGATGAATGGCTCGCGTTCGGACTCACCTAATCGGTTCAACCAGCAGGCAATTGGAACTGCTCGCGATTCGTTCTTGACTTACTTCTTTGGAAAGGATGGCCAGCCAATCCAAACTTCTGGGGCTGGAGCTCCTTCTGCACTTCCGCGCCATGTCAGCCAGGGCGTGGAACCCACATTCAGTCAAAGCATTCGACGAAGTGAAGACAAGTTAACTCATCGACCGGCGTTATCCTCGTCGTTAGCCCGCGAGGATGGTGAGAGCCCGAAAGCTGCCGGGTTTGGGTTTGGGCCGCAGTCGGTAAGTCAAATTTTGTAGCTTGGTTTGTTGTCCCAACTGACACGTTTACTTGCAGGGCGATGTGGAACCGGCTTTAAGCGATCGAGAGGCAATGGAGACGGAGCTAATCCGCGCACTTATTTCCTCGTATTTCAACATTGTCCGCGAGTCTATTGCTGACCAAGTTCCCAAAGCTGTTATGCACCTGCTCGTCAATCATTGCAAAGACGTGGTGCAGAACAGACTTGTCAGCGAACTCTACAAGGAAAATCTCTTCGAGGAACTCCTCTACGAAGACGACGGTGTCAAGAAGGAGCGCGAGAAATGCGAGAAACTGCTGCAGACCTACCGGGAAGCAGCTAAAATCATTGGGGAAGTCTTATAATAGGGCACCTTTTCCAACGGCCCACCACACTACCACCAACCAACCAACACCAACACCTTGTACTAGAAATCGGGACTATCTCCACCTGGCAAAAAAAAAAAAGTTTGGGTTTTCACGTAGAAGAGAAGAATGCGATATCTGACTTTGCCCCATCATCTCATCTGTACATGTACAATTAGACGGAGGGGGAACGGCCAAAAATGCTAACTTGGCCCGCCTTTGCCCGCGATTCTCACTCCCTCGAGGGGTTGCTAGTTCTGCTAGTTGCTTATTCGTTCGGCATGTGTCGTCTGTTCTAATGTGCACAGACGGGGACCGAGTCGGGAAACGCTTTGAGGGCGCACATATTTTGTACATACAGCGCAGACTATGCTACTCTTCGGTTTTTTTTTCTTCTAGTATATTCAGCAGCATTTATCGTATCTCGTATGAGGAGCTTCTTCTCCGGGTTGTACGGTGTATAGGTATGTATGTATGTATGTATGTATGTACGTATGTATAGGTATGTATGTATATATAATACATACTGATCCGTAGAATTGGAGGTGTAGGCTGGCTCGGTGGGTGGTGTGCTGGAACAGGCCAAGGTGGATGGTACGGGATGGATAATAGGTGGACTGGTGGACAGGATACATATGCAGCAGCGGTGGGAGGTATGTAGGGCGGACGGGATGAATGGACGGGATGGGCAGGCCAAGCTATCTATACATGCCTACCTATACATATGGACAACATACAGAATACGTGTCCCGCGTACCACGTTTGGGCCATTTCGGTCACAGATGCATCGATCGAATGACTAGTTGCTTTTGCAAACGGCCTATGCGAGATCAATATCACCTTCCCGCTTAGGCGTAAATCAAAACGAATATCGAATCTTGGTTTCTACTGTGGTGCAGTGTAGTGGAATGTATGTAACTGTGTATGTAACTGCTTGGGGGGGGGGGGGTATCTTCAAGCCCTATTCTTCTGCGTTTCTGCGCGGTGCCTGCGTAGGGAATCGTAACTATCTATATGTACATACCTACCTGGCTGGGAGGTAGGTATGCATTTCTTTTTTATATCTAGGTACCTAGCTAGCTAGATCCCGGTCTGCGCCAGCTTCTTGGCCAAGGCGTCGACGTCGTCGTCCTTGAGCTGCACCGTGGGTTCTTCTTGAGCCTCCTCGGCCTCCTTGATTAGCTTCTCGGCCTTCTCTTCCGTAGAGGGTTCTTCCTCTTCCTCCTCCTCCTCCTCCTCCTCTTCTTCCTCATCCGAGTCTAGATCCTCGAGATCGCTTAGGCTGTCGACGCCCCAGGTGTCCTCGTCGATGAAGTCGCCGCCGTGCTTCTCTTTCCGCTCGTCGAGCAGCTCTTGTAGGGCTAGGATCGACTCGTCATCTTCGGAGAATTTGTTGCCGTTTAGTTCGATGCGCCTTAGCGCCGGGAGACCGGCCTTGGCTGCCGATGCGAAGCCCTTGACGCCTACGGCTGTGATGTCGTTGTATTGCAGGCGAAGCGTTTCCAGCTTCTGGTTTTGACCCTTGGAAAGGACGTCGGCGAGGAGGACACCACCCTTGGCGCCAAGTAGGGAGTCGCCGATTCCAAGCTCTTGTATGTCTGTCCAGAGAGGGACAACCTTTGCCAATGCTCTCGCGCCCTTGATGGTAAAGGTGTTGTCTTGTAGATCTAGAATCTTGATCCCGATAGTGTGGTTCAGGCCCGAGGTGAGCAATTGCTCGATTCCTTCTTGCCTGATACCGTTTTGGACCATCTTGACTTCTTTAACCCGGTCATGAAGGCTGAAGGTCTTGGCCCAAGCAAGCATGCTTCCGTTTTCCAATCGGTTACGACCGCAGATGACGGTCTCGAGATAGGGAACGTCTTGCCCGGCCTTTCTAGCAGCCTCCTTCTTTGTATGTAGCTCCGAGAGCGCATCGGCGATGAGTATGCCGGCATGAGGTCCCAGTCCGTTGTTGTTGAGGTATAAGTGCTGGAGCGGCACGTGGCTAGACAGGAAAGCGACCAAGGGCGCTTGGGTGTTGAGACCGAAAGCATTATCGTTCAGGTTGATGGTACGAAGATTGGGCAAGTTGAGGATGGAGGTGAGCAGAGAGGAGAGGGCCTCAGGGATCTCGTTTAGCAGGCGACCCGTAAATATGTCAGCCAGGTTTGCGACCTACATGAGTAGCAACGTTGTTAGTAAGGCTATTTTGCTTTGTACCGACATGGTCCTCCCCCCTATAACATATAATATCCAATATATTGTAGGTCTTACCTTCAGCAACTTCTTGGTGGCCAAGACTTCTCCAAGAAGTTTGCAGGCTTCGACACCCAGAGTGTTTCCCAGGATGCGTACTTCCTCAACGTCGTCCATAGCCCTTAGCGGACCGATATGCGCCTCGAGATCCTGAGCCGTATCTAGCTTCAGGCCTTTCCCTTCAAGGGAGAAGAGTTTACCGGGCGCAGCCATCTTGAATCAGGCGTTATGGTGGTAAAGAATAGCGACGAAATCTACAGTGTTAACTTTGTTGTTATTGTTGTTGACGATGTTTTGGATCTAACAAAAAAGAACGCGAAGCCTAGAATGGTGGGGGAGGGGCAATTGTAAGACATTATGAGGGTGTAGGTACAGTGTAGGTACGGTAATACGGTAATACGGTAACACTTTAATTCATGTCGGCTGTCAAGGGCAACGGTTCGGATAATTACCGGGTGGCACCAGATGGTACAATAATGGTACAATAATGGTACAATACATAGTACATGTATTAGTAGTGTACGTGCCTTGTGCAGTAAATTGACTTGCACATGCATTTGATTTAGAGTTTGATTTACAGTTGTTACCTATTTACGGTTCAAATGTGCTTAAATGCTGTTAGTAAGCTGTATCCACTACATGTATTGTATTGTACGGATTAGGCACTTACAAAGTACCGTTGTGGGGCCTTCCAAGCTTAAACTTCCATCTGTCTAACTCTTGCGCGTCACATCGCGATTCTCATTCTTATAACTCAACTTCCACAACCTCTCTCTTACCGCCTATTTTCCCATCTCCTGGCTTTGTCTAAGGAAAATGCTAGGGAATGATACATTTCATAGATTCCATACTCTCACCTCCATCTTGTCTCGCGCTTATTAGCATGGCAAGCTGCCTTTGACAACTCAACCCTTCTCAGCCTGTTCTGAAATCTAGACTCAATATTTTATCCTACCTCAGGATAATTCTGGCGGTCTACCCTTTAATAGCCTCCCAAGCCGATTTCCATGTTGCACCAGTAGCCCATCTTCTCATGTTTTGCACATTTTACCTACCTCTGAAGGAGCCACATTTTCAAACGAAAGTGTGACGAGCCTTGACAGTTCGTATATTCAATGAATAATTGCTTCCGATCTCAACCATTTCCCGACAAGTGTTATTGGCTTCTACATAACCTGTTGCTCACCACATCAATCTGGATTTCGGTCCTAGCTGATACTAATCACATTAGGTGCGGATTACTATTTGCCTCTAGCTGTAGCAAGCCGGTCAGTTCGCAAGCCCCCTTGGCGGGAAGCCATGGATCTCAGCAGGAGATCCGGAGGTGTGTTTAAACACTCGCTCGGTTCAGTTCCATCTCCAGCCGAGGATGATGAAATCCCTCTAGACTCTAGCAGTGAAGAATCTGATGTTTCCATGTCTGATTCTGAACCAGAGGACGTGCATAATTCGTTAATTTCAACTGGTAGCGAACATATTTCGACTCAAGCTCAACTACCAGTTTCTGCTGCCCATCACAATCAGGATATCTCTAGGAAGCGAAAGTCCCAAGAGGCAGATGATGCTCGTCATGCAGTCATCTCAATCAAGAAAGTAAAGCTAGACAATGAGGGTTCTAATCAAACCCAGTCTCTTGTGACCTGTCCGTTAGACAAATCTCTACTTCCTGCCGAAATATGGCATCGCATCTTTATTTTCACTCCACCAAGAGCTCTAGGCAATTTGTTGTGCGTCAATAAGTTGTTCAGCGTATATCTCGACCCGTCCTCTCCCTACCAGTGTAAATTCCCGTCTTCTCCCCCCCAATCCTCTTCCCGGCTGCTTAAGCCTGATGTTATATGGCAGCTTTCTAGGAGGCGTTTCTGGCCGAGGATGCCAACCCCACTACAGCAGAAGACTGAGCTCTACATGTGGCGTCTTGCCTGTGGAAGAAGATGTCAGTTCTGTGGCGAAACTGATTTGGTACCGGCAAATTTGTCGCATAACCAGAGCGATCATAGACACCAACCAATTTGGCCGTTTGCGCTTCGGAGCTGCGAATCTTGTCTTGTAGAGAAGACAGTGAAGGTATGTACATACTCCTAAGCTACGAGGATATTATCTCATTATCTCACAAGGAGATTGATTTGCTACTTTCTTCAACGCCCTCCATACTGACGTCGGCGTTACCATTCACTTTTATCACCAACGAGAAGCACATAATTTCACCAGACGCGCTTCAGAAAGGAGTGTTCCAACCAGATATGCAAGTCACTAAGATTTACCTCTCCGAACACGTAGAGAAGCTAAAACACGAGTTCCTTTCCGCCAAATCAATGGGCGGTGCGACGGCTGAAGAGTGGCTAAAAGGCTTAGAGACTCGAGGAAAAGAACTACTTAATGATTCTATGCGGTGGGAGAAATGGGCCTCAACTGGCGGAGTAGCTCAGATGCAAACGCCGACGAGTCCGGATATCGCTTTGAGTATGGCTATTTCAAACGATAAGGGAAATAATAAGGGACAAGTCTCGGCGGATTCTTCGTTAGCTCTCAAACCCCTTTCGAGTTCAAGTAGTATAGCTGGACAACAGACGTCTGATTCAGGTCATGCTGCCCCCGTTACAATAGTGCCTCAATCCGCACGTACACCCGAAGTTACTTCTCCGCGTAGGTTATCCCTGTTCAGTTTCCTCGGTTGTGACTAACATGATGGCAGACGAACTCGGGGCTGGCATTCCCTCGCTACCAATTAATGTTCAGTCTAATGGATCTCGAGCCCGGACTCGGGAAGAGGCATTAGAGCTTAAAGCTGCTCGTCGCACAGAAATTGAGCGACGGGCGATGGAACTTGACCCACCTTTGCCGTCAAATGTATTAGAACATATTCCAGCCTTCCAAGCAGCTATCCAAATCATCTCACCTCTTGATGGTCACGCGTGGGATTTACTCAAGCCACGCTTGCTTGCACAGAGAACTGCCGCGGAACAGCGTGAACGACGTGAACAAGGGCTTACTCCTACCCAGACCGGTCTCGTCTCGGCGATCCCCGAAGAACATAACCAGGCTGAAGGAAATGCAATAATAAACAAGCAGCTCATCGATAAGGCTTGGGATGATGTTCAGGAGCCGCTACGCGCGCAGATATCCGCATTTGCTGACGAGATCATCCGCGATAGCTGGAACGATGGTCGAAAAGTTGATACGGATAATAGCCCACAATTCGCCGCCGAGGTTCTTCTACATGTCCGTAAAAGATTCTACGCGGAAATTGAAAAGGAGTCAGCCGCGGCACGAGCTGCCGGCAGGGAACCGCTTGAAGACCCGCCAGAAGGGCCATTTACGCAAAAGCTCACCCTTGAGAATATGAAGTGGTTATTCGACGTAAAGATAAAACCTCACACTGAGTCGTATCGGAAAGATCTATTCTTCTGTAACGGTTGCGAAATTAGCTTCAAGGCCTTTGGATTCGAAGGCGTTATTCAGCATTATGCTGCTAAGCATACGAACGCTCTTAGTCAAGGCAGCGTTGTGGTCCACTGGCGGGCTGAGTGGCCAGAGATCCCGCCCTTTAAACCCGACCCTCATATCGTCAAAGCTGCACCACCTATATCGACCTACGGAATCTCGCAGCCTCAGGGAAATGCCTACCCCTACCGTCGCAACGTTGGCCCTTATTCCACCAGCACAAACCCGTCGCCCTTCCAGCCATCTCCATACAATACTGTGCCTCCAAGCTATGGACATCCAGCATATGGACCGACGATGCAACAACCGGCTCCATATGGGTATGGAAACCCCTATATTCAAGGACCACATGAATACGGATCTCCTTATCCTCACCATACGCCACCTTATGGACCACATGAAACCCCTTACCATGGTTTACATCCGCTCTTTTCTCCTGGGATGCAAACTGAATCACCGACTTATCCTCCTGCTACAACTCCATATCCTAACCACACCTACAATACACCTCAAAATAATTCCCAGATAAGCTCTCAAAGTCCCCATGGGAATTTTCTTGCTAGCAAATATCATGCTGAGCTTGAATATTTAGCTCGAACCTCACGCGAGCTCTGGACCTCCACTGCTGGGTTAAAAGAGCTCCCAGGAAATATCAGGGTCCATGTTGTTATCTGGCATGCGGTGCAAAAATTTCGGTCCAAGTTTTATGAGAGCCCCCCACTGTCTATGTTCATCGACGGGCTCTCAAACAATAAGGAGATGCGTCCAGTACGCAATGTCAACGGCTTGATGTGTAAAGCATGCCACCTTGGTCTGAGTAATGAAGCACCGATCGAACAGGATCTCAAGGCATTTTCCCTGCCACAGCTGGTAACCCATTTTCAACAAAGGCACGTGGATCAACCGCGAATGGCAGGCGTCCCTTTCCTCGATTGGACTATAAACATGGTGCATATGCCAGATCTCTCCGCGCTATCTAGTCTTCAGTACTTGGCGAATATAGATGGCCAGAAATCTTCATTGATATATAGTGCTTTTCCGTCAGCGCAGTATCCTCACAGCTACCAACAAGCTGTATCTGCTGTTGATACCCGAGCAGATATCGGAGCTGGAGTTTTTGCTAGTCGGCAACCGACTAGTAATGACTCGACATCACTTTACCATACAATTAGGAATGATGAAGCCAACTCCAGCATACAACAAGACCCCCCACGACCCACTACATTAGGCCAGAAACTAGATTTTAATCAGCCGATGGTTATAGACAGCCCTTCTCTAATAGCGCACCAGAAACTGCAGAATAGTGACTCGGGCCGGTCCTCCTCAGAAGCATGGCATGGGACTAATGCAGCAAGGACAAAGAAGCAGAGGAAATCCTCCACCAAAGATCGTCGAAACACTTCCGGTCAGGGTTCTAGGAACCGTAAGAGTGGCGCATTAGATGCATCGTCTAGGGTCAAATCACAAGAACCTAGTGAGGGAGATCTAATCACGGAAGAAGAGCGTCGCCAAGAAGAGGAAATTCGAGCAATGTGGGCTGCAGACCGCAGGGAGGCTGCACTGGTTGCTTCTAAGAACAAGCTTCCGAATCAAATTGAAGAGCCTAACACTCCGAATGGAAAATCGGAAACGGGAAGTCCAATAAGTCATTATGCTCCACCGGCTCAAAGTATTGAACCGTCGATATATGCAGCTCAAGCTGCAAGACCTCAGCAATCCACAATTACCCAGGAACGCGACGAAGATGATCTGATGGCTGGTCTGGAATCTCAACTCGATCAACAGCAAGTATTGAATGAACGTTTCGACTATGGACTACGGCATGACGGCGATCTTCATCGTGAGAGGCAATCACCCTACAGGCAACATTTCGGTTCTGGGCAACATACCTATTCTGACCAAAGACGTTCTTATGACCGAACTACCTTGGAACCCCCTGGATATGTTCGGCACGAATCAAGATCTCGCCTTGATCAGTATCAGGAAAATGACGTTGACCCTCGTGCTATTAACCCAACTCGCGGGTCTGCGCGTACTACAGCGCCTCTAGATGATGCGTTATTTGACCGGCCTCCACGCCAAGAATATTATCATGCATACGCTGATGACCATCGAGCACATCAACCCGCCCCCGAATATGCTACAGCCTATGAAATCGTTAGGGCCCGGGATTCTCACGGCGAGTACGTAATTAAAAGACCCATTAGACTTGAGCGAGAACCTACCTACGTCACATCCCAGGATGGGCCTACCACTTATAATGATGCTGCGGCGCGATACAGGTCTTACGGAAATGGAGATTCCGGCAACCGATTGAGATACGAATCTGACTTGAGGGCCGAGCCACCTCCGCGGCAACCTACATACGAGGCAAGCCTCAGGGAGGATGGTAGTATAACCAAGAGAACCTACGAGGCATTCTCAAGAGATGACGCTACTGGCTATGATGGCTACGACCCGAGATATCCATCAGGTCCATCGAACTCCAACATTGCGCGACAGCACCGATATCAGTAATCACAGTTTACAAAGGATGGTCAAGCATAATTATATCTAATATTTAGTAGTTATATCAAATGGCACTCTTCCTATGCACTAGTGGGCTAGTATGCAAATCACAAGACAAGGATTTCAAGACAGACAAACTTGAATTTCGAACGAGGCCTATTCAACTAGGTTAGAAGACTCAAAAATATAAATATTTTACGATGATCATATGAGTACCGATTTACTACCAAAACTGGTCCGTCGTAATCTGTTGTGATTATTGTCCTTAATGGTGATCCCGCTGATCCTGAAGACTGTCTTGTTATAGTAAGATACGGCAATTCCCTTGCCACGACGTGAAATTGCTCATTACCAGCTGGTTTATCTAGTACTGATATTTAGTACAGCTATAGAACTTCACTCGATATTGCTTTACTTTGCTTCCGCTCAGGAACGACGCTATAATCTCCATCATCCCCCCCCCTTCCCTCTTCACGAACCTCCATACGCCCCCAGCACCTCCCCCTCCAGCGCCTCCATCGCGTGCACCGCATCCGGGACTCCCAGCCAGCCGCACAGGTTCCTCCCCGCGTCGAGCACCTGCCACAGCGCCTGGTCGTCGGCTACCCGCCACTCGTCCTCGCTGCTGAGGGCCACGGTTTCCGCCCAGCGCATCAGCCGGCCCATGGACTCGATGGCGAGCCGCTCGACGTTGAGCACGTGGAGGCGGTCGCGCTGCGATCCGGTCCAGAGCATGCTGCAGATGCTGCTTGTGTTGAGCAGGAGGGACGGGGTTGAGGGGGGGATGGCGGTGGGGCTGAAGCTGGGGTTGTGGGCGCGGGTATGGGTATGGGTATGGACATTGTTGTTGTTGGTTAAGGTGTCGTTACTGCTGCTGCTGCTGCTGCTGCTGCTCCCGCTGCCGTGACATGCCGTAGACCAGCCCTGACTAGCAGCCCGGGCACGCCGGTTCGCGACGTGCGTGTCGAGGTACGTCCTCGTCGCCTGCAGGCATATATCGTGGACGGCGCGCGCCGTCGCGCAGATATTCGCGATGGGCCCCGTGCTGCTGCTGGGTATGCTCACGGTGCGGCTGGACGTGGCTACGGAGAGAGTGCGGCCGTCTGTACGCGAGGGGGCGGGGGCGGGGGCAGGGGGGAGAGGGAAATCCGGGTTCTGCTCCGAGGGCGGAGATAGCCACGGGTGCTGGTGGTCTGCGGCCTGGGGCGAGTACGCGTCTGGCTCGGGCTTGAAGATCCGCGGTGCTGGCTCCTGGGGGTACGCTAGAGGAGCGCGGTTGTTGGGCGTTTCTATTTGCTCTAGGGGAGGATGGTTATTGTCGTATAGGGGCTGCTGATGGCCGTTTTCTCTCTTTAGATATTGGAGATCGGGGCGAGGGGTGAAGCATGGGCATTCGCCGGGTGATAACGGCAGGAATTGGGGATCAATGACTTCCCATTCGGCAGCGGTTACTGGTAGGGACTTGGTGCCGGCCACTTTCGTGCGCGGGCTTGGTTCCATGGCTAGATCTTCTCGGGTAGGTGAAGCGGCGGGTGAAGGTTGAGCCCTGCGGTAAATAAAGTCGCTTGGTGATGTCGTTGAATTTAACATGGTCAATATGCAGAACTGGTAAATCGGAACGCGTGGGGCTCTGCTGGTATTAATAGCACGGCGATAACAGCGACGGCTGGGAGAACCGCAGGCTTCTAGAGGCTTATACAACTAAGGGCCATTCTAAGGGACTTTCGAGTAACTACAAGAACAGAACTAGGGAGAAACACGAGGCGGTGTGGACAAAGGCGGATAGATTTAAGACACATCGATTTGATGCGGGTGTTTATTATCTGTGAGTCTACGTGTGCCAGATGACAATTCTACCGTCAACGCCGCTTGCTTTGTATCCCGTTAGCATATCCGCAGAACAGCCTGAGGCTTCGGTGGGAGGAGAAAGACTTACTGCTGAACTTGGTGACGGCTCCGCCATCGGACTCGTATACGCGGATTGTCGAAATGGTGTTCTGGTGAACGGTCTTTAGTTGAGTGTCGTCTTTGGCTTTGCCTTTCAGGTCCATCTGCTTGAACATGTTCAAGGCAGACTCTTCTCGCGCATCTCCCAAACCAGGCCCTCCCTTGGATTCCAAAGTGCCACTCAGCTGCCATCCAGACGCGTCACCCCTGAACCTAAAGGCCTCGCAATCGTGTCCGGCTGCGATGATCTCGCTTTCGCCGTTCCAGATTAGGCTCATGAAAGGCAGGAGTTGAGTGTTGACGCTAATAACAGCTCGCGGCGGTTGGTCAGGAGCGGTAGGGTAGACAACCGTAATACTGCTGTCGTGGGCAGCGAACGCGAGGGCGTCACCGCTCGGAGAGAAAGCGACAGAGTGTATCCAGCCGGCCGAGTTGTTCAAGAACTCGCCGCAGACGGTGTTGAAAGGCAGGCGTTCACCCCAGACGCTAGGTTCGGGACGAGCATCGACGCCCTTGATGAAGCTCGAGAAGACTCTCGCGTGGGCATCGGTAGAGCCGGCAGCGAGCAGCACCGAGTTGGGATGCCAGTTGACGCTAGTGATGGTGCTTCGAATGGGCTTCTTCAAGTGCTTGGAAACCCACCAGTCGTTCTCCTCTTCGAAGTAGCAAATAGCAATGACCCTGTCACCGGAGCCAACAGCGAACTTGGTCTCGGAGGGAGACCAGCGAACGAAGGTAGCCGCTCGAGCAATTCTAAGAAGCACTAGGGTCGGCTTGTAGCCAGTAGGAGAGGGTTCCCAGACCAGGGCATTGCGGTCTATCAAACATGTTAGAACAAGCTCATTGATAGGTTATAGAATACTATGTAAATGAGGTAAATGAGGTAAATGAGGTAAATGAGGTAAATGAGGTAGATAGACCTTGAGAACACGTGACAATTCGGCCGCTGCCTGGAGCAATATCGACGCTGGTGATGGTTTTATCGTGACCTTTCAGCTCGTCTTTTAACTTAAAGGCACCTCCGACTCTGCCGTATAGTTCGATAGTAGAGTCCTTGGCGACGGCCAATGTCTGGCGGTCGGCCGAGAAGGAATGGTCAGCAATAGGTCGATGGAAGAGATGGTGAACCTCCGGGGCGGCCATGTTGATAAGTGTTTCTTTTCTTTCTTTTCTTTCGTTTTAGTTCTAGTTATACCTACTAGTGATAGGAGTATAGCTCTCTACTACCACGTCGAGGTAGATTAGTACCTTAGGTAGTTTAGTGGTGTCTTGAAGATTTAGGAATAAGAAAGGAGGTGTAAGTTCGTTAGCAAGCAGCTAGAAATGCGAAGTGGCAGGGCAAGCGGCAGTGGGGTGCAGCTGGGGGGGGCTCCGCAGACGTGCGTCACTCACCTACCTAATAGAGGTAAAGTCGAGCTCAAGCCACACCATCCCGCCAAGTGTGGCAGACTACCTAAAATGTACATAATCTAGGTAACATCCATATCGGTATTGTGAGGCTCCTTCAGCCGGTCTGCGTGGCTTGTCTTCTGCAATAATTAAACACGACTATCGAGATCTCCAAGCAACCTTCAAGCTGCATTATAGAAGCTCCAAGATTTCCTACGACCAATACTGAGTGTAGAGAAAATAGAGATTGGCGATTCAATACGTTGGACAATAATTAATTGAACCCGGTATACTCGTCTCTTCACAATGGCCACCACCGTCGCTACACGCGGTCAACCACCGAAAACTGGCGGCAAGACAGCTCCAATTCCACCAAATCAGACGTAGGTTCTCGAGGTTGCGCGATCAACTCATTGTGCAAGCCTCTGTCTAACCTTGTTTCTAGGCTCTACGTTACAAATCTACCTTCGAATAAGATCAACAAGACAGATCTGAAGACGGCGCTCTACATGCTATTCTCGACCTACGGCCCTGTGCTTGACATTGTGACTCTGAAAACCATAAAAATGCGCGGGCAGTCTCACATCGTCTTTCGAGATGTGCAGGCAGCGACTCAAGCATTAAGGTCCTTACAGGGTTTCAAATTCTTGGGACTGGAACTTGTACGTAAATTTTCATATTCTTGCACTTATTTGCCTTGGGACTGTCTAACTAACGCGTGCCTGTAGCGGATCGAGTATGCGAAGTCCAAATCGGATATCATCGCGAAATTAGACGGTACATACAAGCTTCCGGGATCAACCGCCGCCAATATCGAGATGACGGAAGCCCAGCAGAACATCTTCAATGCTCCGGCACCTGGCACTGCTGCCACCAGCACACCTGCAGCAGCCGCCACCCCTCATGGTCTTCCTACGAAGCCTCCTCAGAGCTCCGACCATGCGATGACAGATGCAAACGGTCCTGATGCTCGCGGACAAAAACGAACTCGCGACGAAGAGGAGGAAGAAGATAGCGACGAAGATGTGGCGATGGAGGAGGATAGCGATGATGAATGAAGAGAAAACTTGCTAGTACCAAGCTCGCTGAAAGACCGCATTCAGGATAAAGCCTCTCTCTCAATTTCATCGGTTGTCGGGCTGTAGGGTATGGCTCGTTCCCTTACTATATGGGCACCTGGAGCCTTAGCCGGCATTGACAGCAGCCATCTGTTGAGGGACCCAAAGTCCAACACACCCTCCCACCAGACCAAGCCATACCATGAGATAGTCTTGCTTTGCGCAGTCAAACCCAGCCATGGCGTCTCCGATGGCACACGGGTGAACGAAAAACGAAGGGAGTCCGGTAATAGGGTGGTGCTGTAGACGCCATGGTTAGTCCCGAGGTAGAGATAATAAAATACCCAATACGAGAAACAAATAATTGACTTATTAGGCAGAACAAAAATTTCACCTACGTCGATTGAGATGGCGCCTATGGGGCCAACTCTTTGGAGAGAATCTTTGAACTGTTCAGGGACTAAATAACGGAAGACAGTTTCGATATTGAGGGGTGACTCTCCAGCCGGTAGACCATGTAGAGTGAACCAGAGACAGGGTGAGCTATACGTCGGATGGAAATGAATCTCATAAATGACGTGGCCCGCTTGGAAGTGTGCCCGAGATGGTCGTTTAGAAACGATTTCCTGCAAATATATTAATCGTCCATGCCGCGCTATTAGGGAAGACTTTAGTTAATATGGCTGACCTTATCCGAATCTTCCATCTTGACCATCATTTCGTCGGCATCCAGTTGCATATCTTGATCCTCGCCCAAGGAGACGCCACCCATCTTAGCCGCCAGCTCATCGTCAGCAGCCGTTCTATTGTCCAGAGGTCGTGTGACTTGTAGAAAGGTAGTACGCCCCGAGCCAGGCTCAAAGGACAACTCCAACGCCGTGTGAACATGAAGGCGCCATTCTTTGCGCAAGGGTCCTAGTGTGGCACGACGATATCTCCTGTCCAGATAGTGGCATACTTCAGAAAACTCCGCCTTGGTAAGATATGGGTAGCACTTGTAGCTCGAACGGTGACAATTAGAAGGATCCATTGTGCGTCGTCCAGGCGGTTGCGATTGTTCTTGTGGTAATAGTGGTCGACGAGTTTAGATCAAAGACTTGAAGACGGGACCGAGATATTTATATATACATATATACCTAGGTATATAAGGTAGGTAGATAGGTACTAATATACCTTTTTGATTTTGAAATTTAAGTAGTTCTTGCCAATTCCGAACAATGAAGAGTCTTTAACATAAACTGGTAGTTGGCGCCTTCCTAACAACCTAAGTATTAAGAAGTAGTCGGCTGATTTATATGAGCATGTGAACTTTGAAGCTTCGAGACGAATATGAGTAAATGTAGATACGTAGTGAATACGGCGTGCATGTACTTACCCAATATAATTCAGGCTTCTAGGTACCTAACCTACATACATGTAACCCAATGTGAGGCAGGTACTTCTGTACTTGATATCGATGCAAGTGGGTCAACGATTGTGGAGGGGCTAGCTGCATATATGCTGAAACTCTCATTGGCCACTAATCGGATAGGCGGCAGGACCAGGCGAACGGCAATTGACGTTGTAAAACTACCTACCTACCTACCTAACTTACATAGCTGTCCTTAATAGGTGCTGTCCTTAATAGGTACCTCCTTCCGACCATATATTTTGTAAGTCAGTAGCGGCAACTCACCTTTTACATATTTTCCCAGATTCAAAGCTAACGGGGAATTTCTTCCTACGTGCCTATGCCTTTGGTAGGCGAATTTCCAAAGTTCGGCACGGAAAGAAGAATCATAATGATAGAATAACTAGAAATGATTTTGTCATTGTTCTTATCCAATTAAGTTTCTTGGGCTAGGCGTGTTTTCTATTCTACCGCCTATACGATTGCTCCTAGGCCATCAGTACGAGTCGCCCATCCTCGACAAGCCGCCTCCTAATGCGTATCCTTTGTCGTCGTTGTACCTTGCCTCATGAATGTACGCGACCCCTTCGGTATCCATCGAAAGAACGCTCTATCCATCCTTAAGACCACCGTGCCGCGTGCTGCCGTCAACTTTACCGAACGCGCCGTCGAGGCCAGTATTAATGCTCTCGAGAAGGGCAAAAAAGCCGTCGACGATATTGACATGTCATTTTCCGTCCCTAAAAATGTTCCCTCGTTTAGCAACCCGCAGAGGATAGTGGAGGATCACGTTTGGGGTAACACGGCGGTCGCAAGAGGTGGAAAGGGTTCAAATCCCAAGAACACTGGAATACTCGGGGGCGTGCAGGATAAGGTTGGAAGCCTCTTCGACGATCGAAACTCTCTACCCATGTACAAGGACAAGCCGTATGCGTACCCGCCCTCCTACCGAGCCAGACCTCTCTGGCGGAGAAAGCGGATAATTGGTCTTGTGCTGCTGGTAATCCTGCTGCTGTATTATTTCGGTGCATTCGGTAGTCATCATGATGCCGTCGTCGCTTCAACTCCTATATGGACCTGGCTTACTGCTAATTCCGGATCAGGGAAGTCTGCCGACTGGTTGGGGCGGAGAGAGCGTGTCGTTGAAGCTTTCACCCTAAGCTGGGACGCCTACGAACGATATGCCTGGGGTAAGATATTTAATTCGAGTTGATGGTTACGGCTTTATGCTCAGCTTTTGCTAACTCGCCTCAAGGCTATGATGAGTTTCACCCGATATCCAAGAAGGGTGACCAGATGGCTAAGGGAGGAATGGGGTGGATCATCGTGGATGCTCTAGACACCATGATTCTGATGAATCTCACTTCCCGTGTCACTCACGCGAGGGAGTGGATTTCAACTACCTTATCATATGACCAAGATCAAGATGTTAGCACCTTCGAGACGACAATTCGTATGTTAGGCGGCCTCCTCTCTGCTCATTATCTCTCTAATGAGTTCCCTGAGCTGGCGCCGCTATCAGACGATGACCCTGGAGCACCTGGAGAGGATCTGTACCTCGAGAAGGCAAAGGATCTCGCTGACCGACTTATATCTGCTTTCGATTCCCCGTCTGGCGTCCCCTATGCCAGCGTGAATATCGGTAAATATGAAGGTATACCAGCTCACGATGAGGGTGGCGCATCGTCTACTGCCGAGGCGACTACCTTGCAGCTCGAGTTCAAGTATCTTGCCAAGCTGACCGGCGAGAAGTACTTTTGGGATAAAGCCGAAAAAGTAATGGAAGTTGTTGATAATAACGGAGTCGAAGATGGCTTAGTACCCATCTACATTTACGCCACAGATGGTACTTTCAGAGGCCAAAACATCCGATTGGGAAGCCGAGGAGACTCGTATTATGAGTATCTCATCAAACAATATTTGCAAACTAATAAGCAGGAGCCCATCTATCTAGAGATGTGGGATGAGACTCTACGGGGAGTCCGCAAGCACCTCGTCACTTATACAGAGCCGTCTGGGTTCACCATCATTGGGGAGCGGCCAGATGGTCTGAAGGGCGCCTTGTCTCCTAAGATGGATCACTTGGTCTGCTTCATGCCAGGCACGATTGCTCTTGCTGTCACGGGCGGGTTGACAGAAGCGGAGGCTAGGAAAAAGCCAACATGGACAGAACAGAACGAGGCCGATATGCAGCTCGCGAGGGAGTTGATGCAGACATGCTGGGGCATGTATAAGTGGATGGCCACCGGTCTTGCGGCCGAAATCACATATTTCAACATCGCCGACCCACCTGCACCCGAATCTGCTCCTCACCATCCACCAGCTGAATTTGATCCTGACCCCGAAGCGCAGTGGCGGAAAGATTATTCGGTTCACTCCATGGACACACATAATCTCCAGAGGCCGGAGACGGTAGAAAGCCTCTTTTACATGTGGAGAATCACAGGTGATATCAAGTACCGAGAATGGGGCTGGGAGATGTTTAAGTCGTTTATGAACCACACTGCCGTAGCAGATGGCGGAGGGTTTACGAGTCTTTCGAATGCGAACAAGATCCCGCCGGTGACGCGAGACAATATGGAAAGTTTTTGGCTGGTATGTTCCTCGTACTCCTACACTATTGAATGTATTTTCTAATTTGTTCTGTACCTTATAGGCCGAGACTTTGAAATATTTCTATCTTCTCTTTTCTCCCAACGATCTTCTTCCGTTGGATAAGATTGTCATTAATACCGAGGCACACCTTTTTCCTCGATTCGACATGGGCCAGCTATTCTCAACGGGATGGAAGCGGAAGCCAAGAGACGCGGAAGGGAAGATCATCCAATGAATTCATAAATAATCAGCATATATCATCCCCACCTACTTCGGGGAGCATTATCGGCGTAATGTAGAGCTCGGGAGGGTTGTTTTTCTCGATAGCTGCCGCATAGTATATATGGCATTCTGAATGTATAAACTGAAGCTTACTATTACGTTAAGTCGTATTGTGATATTTGAGGCTATTCAACAACGACGTGATGCTTATAAGTAATTTAGCCCATCAACTCAGATTCGAACGCCCAGGTTGCCCCGCCACTGTACTCTATGGCTTGATGCCGTGGTACACATACAGTGTAAGTGGATATCTTAGGTTACCAATAAGATCGATCTAGGCTAGATCTTGGATTTGAAGTTCATCCCATGCACGTTATCTATAAATATCCACTATTTAAGCGTATCTAAGCAGGGATCTAGATGCCATTATGTAACTCATAGGAGCAAAAGGAAGGTGCATTTCCATTTAGCTCGCATGGCCGATAAGCTACCCTGAACTACCTTCCGTCAATATATACAATACCTAAGGTACCCCACGCCGACTTTTACGAACGAACATATGTAGGTAGGTAACCTAGGTACTTAACATACTTTCGTACATACCTCGTATACGTAAATCCACAACACTTGTTTGTCGCATCGTCGACAAGAAACCGCTAACCTGCGAACTTGCCTTGCCCTATTGCGCGCACGCTACCTACCTACCTACACCTACATACCTACACCTACATACCTACACCTACATACCTACCAATCAACCCCTCCGAATCGAATTGAATTGCCCCGCGCAATGAACCACCACCCACCATGCCGTCGTCGAACCGGGACATCGAGATGAGCATCTTCCCGATCAAGGAGGACTCGCTGGCGCCGGGGAGCAGCTACACGATGCGCGAGCCGCTGTACGAGGACGCGCCGTCGTCGTCGTCGCGCACGCGGTTCTTGGACCGCATCGTCGACGGGTTCCGGCGCGACCCGAACCAGCGCGTCACGCCCGAGGATCCGCTCGGCGTGATACACGCGGTGGAGGCGGCGCAGGTGCGGATGCCGATGCTGGGGGCAGGGGGAGGGGCAGGAAGGGAGGGGGGAAGGGGGTCGTCGTCGGGCTCGTCGGGGGGCCATTTGTACGATGTGAGGGCGGCGAATTTGCAGACGGCGCAGTCGCATCTCGCGAGGAAGTTGAAGGGCAGGCATTTGCAGATGATTGCCATTGGGGGGTCTATTGGTGGGTTGCTTGCTTCCTATCTGTCTATGTTGGCTACGCATGCTTGCGCGAATGAATGGATGAATGGATGAATGAATGAATGAATGTGGGAGAATGCAAGTATAGCTGACGGTGGTTTCAATGGCGCAGGGACCGGGTTGTTCGTCGCTTCGGGCCGCGCGCTGGAGATCGGGGGCCCGGCGTCGCTGTTGCTTGCGTATCTGTTCATCGGATGCATGCTATACTGCACGGTGCAGGCGCTCGGCGAGCTGGCCGTCTCGTTCCCGGTTGCTGGGTCTTTCTCTGCGTATTCGACGCGCTTTCTGGACCCGTCGTGGGGGTTTGCTATGGGTTGGAAGTATGTCTTCTTCCCTCCTTTCCTCCTTTCCTCCTTTCCTCCTTCTAGGTATAGTAGTCATATAAGGTGAATGCGGCCGACTTACACGCTCTTCTAGTTACGCCCTGCAATGGCTGGTCGCGCTGCCCCTCGAGATCATCGCCGCGTCGATAACTATAACGTATTGGAATCCGGATCTGAATAAGGCTATTTTCGTGACGATATTTCTGATCGCGGTTGTTGCCATCAACCTGTTTGGCGTCAAGGGATATGGCGAAGCTGAATTTGTCTTTGCCATTATTAAGGTTATTGCTGTCATTGGATTCATGTAAGTTTCTCTTCTACCACTACTCACTCTACTACTACTCTACCATTACTCTACCTGATAACTCTATACGTTTATTGACGTTTTTCACCGGTTCAAGATTACTAGGAATCGTCTTGAATATCGGGGGTGTTCCGGGAGGCGGGTATATAGGGGTTTTATATTGGCGGGATCCGGGAGCATTCCATAATGGCTTCAAAGGCCTCTGCAGCGTCTTCGTCACGGCGGCATTTGCCTTCGCCGGGACTGAATTGGTCGGGTTAGCCGCAGCCGAGACGGCAAATCCGCGCAAGTCTTTGCCTACTGCTATTAAGCAGGTGTTCTGGCGGATTACTATATTTTATATCGTAGCCCTGTTTCTCATCGGGCTACTCGTGCCCTATAATGACCCACGTCTTCTCATCCCCGGATCGGCGGTCGCGGCCGCGTCGCCTTTCGTCATCGCCATCGAGAATGCAGGCATTGAGGTCCTACCTTCGGTAATGAACGTCGTTATCCTAATCGCCGTCCTCTCCGTCGGAAACTCTTCCGTGTTTGGCTCTTCGCGAACCCTCGCCGCGCTGGCAGACCAGAGACAAGCGCCGAGGATCTTGTCATACGTCGACCGTCGCGGGCGGCCTTTGGTTTCCATCATAGTATCATCTTCGATGGGTCTCCTAGCCTACCTCGCCGACCTCAACGAGCAAAGCGTCGTGCTCGACTGGCTTGTCGCCATCTCAGGCCTCTCCTCCATCTTCACCTGGGCCTCCATCTGCCTAGCGCACATCCGATTCCGCCGCGCCTGGGCCCTCAAAGGCCACAGCCTGCGCGAGCTAGCCTTCAAGTCGCAATGCGGCGTGTTCGGGTCCTACCTCGGTCTCTTCTTCAACATCCTCGTCCTCATCGCCCAGTTCTGGGTCGGCGCCCGCCCCGTCGGCTGGGAGGGGCTCTCGCCCAGCGAGCTCGCGCAGAACTTCTTCCTGCAGTACATGGCGTTCCCGGTGGTGGTCATCTTTTATGTCGCTCATAGGTACTGGGCGCGCACGTCGTTTATCAAGGTGGCCGATATGGATATCGATACGGGGCGGAGGGATTTCAACCTCCCGATTCTGCTTGCGCAGGAGGCGGAGGAGAGGAGGGTGTGGCCGAAGTGGAAGAGGATGTATAAGTTTTTGTGTTAGTAGAGAGGGGGGTTTGTTATGATTTATGTCGCGCTGCTTTTTTTTCCCCGTCTTAGTTTGCTTTTGCTTTTTCTTTTCTGTATTGTTGGTCTATTACCTAGGTACCTTCATAGACCGCTACGAGGTTGGAATGTGGCGTTTTACTAACGGCGATCTAAGGGAGAGAGAGATTCGGGTCGTCGAAAGGGGGTTGCAGGCCTCTTGTATTACTGTATTGGGACGAGTGGCGCTACGGAACCAAGGCGTTTTGCTATAATTTTGTTCATGTGTTTTGATATCAAGGCTCTGTTGGTATTCTCTTGGCTAACGGAAGGTTTCGACGACGGAATATTAAAAACTTACGCCTAGATCTGTTACATACCTAGATAGCATTGGTTAGATGTACGAGCAAAGCAGAGTATCAGTAGTCCTGCATCGTGTCTGTGAACTGTCGAGAGGCTCAGTTGCTTGTGACTTATACGATAGTGTTTGCATTTTGGCTATAGTTGCTGTCGAATTACGTTCATTAAGTTTAGGATCTAATACTAATTACCGAGTTGACATACATGTCACGCCTCGCGGAAAAATATAAGGATAACATATCCCTTTGAGTTCATTGCATGTTGGTTATAATTAATAGGAATCAAGGAAATTAATTATATGCAAGCCGACAGAATGTACACAGCAAAGGCAATTGTACAGCCGGAGCTAGGAAAATAGCAGCAAACTAACTTGTTGCTCAAATAATTCCAGCCATGGTATCATCAACTCCGCCACTTGTCGTTACTGCTGCAATAGCGATCTAAAGCGGTACGGTAATATGGCTAATTCACACAAGAACTTATACTCAACCAAACCTCAAAGGCCAATCACCTGTCCAGAGAATATCCTATAACTCTTGCCTCACAGACACAAAAGACTTGCTTCTTGCGTTCTTCTCGTAATTCATAAGCGGCATCTAGGCGTTTTCATACATAATAGCTAGGTAGTAATGTTCGCATTATTATCATTTGGTTTAGTTCCTCTTCCGAAGTCGGGAATTATGCCAGATGACCTAGAAATCCCAACTGAAGGTCGTAGCGGTTGCAGGCTGGGCCTTTCTCCTGGGCGCTGGCGTAGCACTCTGGTCGTCATCATTGTCACCGAATAGCCAGTTGCGGTTGGAGCCTTTGCCGCCGCCCATTCCGTCACCACCGATGTGGATCCCCTTCTCGCCCTCAGGTCCAGGACCTCTAGCCGTACTAATAGGTTTGTTTTCTTTTTCCTTTGGTACAGGAGATTTGTCGTAGCTCGACCAGTTAGCATCCATCATCTTGACAGCTTTTTTACGGTCTTCTCCCACCGCGAGCTTAGACTGTGGCTTTTGGGCTGGCGATTTGTCCGTCATGTCCCAGTGAGATTCGAAATCTCGACCGCGGTCCTTTAAGTTCGTGATGGCCCCTAAGGGTTGAGGCCCACTGGCAGGAGGTGTTCCATTTCCGTCCTCGTTGTACAAATTATTCTTGTACAAGCCAAGCCCATTGTTATGTGTTGAGCCGCGGGGACGTGCAGCACGAGGCGCACCACTAGGAACACCATCATCTATGAATTCGAAATGGGTCTCAGCATCACGACGAGCTTTAGGAGGTACAGGCTTGCGCTCTGGACTATCTAACACTTCATCATCATCATTTCCCCAATGACGAGCATTCTTCTCCTGCAAGATTTTAGACGGCTTCACTTTGTGCGGGGTAACGAAGTCGTCAAAAGACCATTGACTGGTATGTTTAGTCTTTACAGGAGTTGTCTCTAGCGGAACCTGGTCGGGCTCGTTAGAGCCGTCGTCGAAATCAAAGTGGCTGTACTTCTGGGGGTTGGGGCGGATAAAACGATTAGGAGAAGCAACATCTTCGATCGGGTCACTTTCTTCCAAGGTTTCCTCATCCGCAAATAGGCGGCTTGGCTGGAACTTCTTCTCACCACCAGCTTTAGGGGCAACCGCTTTGCTTGGCGATTCTGATCGATCGCGATCAGGACCTTCGACTAGCTCGTCACCTAAGATCTCCATAATATCGCGTTGTCGCGGTCGGGCTCCACCTCTAGGGGAGATAACGGCGGCAATGCTACCATCGGACTCATCGCGAGGAGCGAACAAGGCAAGCGAAGCGTGGGGATCGCGTAGGGCATTGTTCGAGTTGCCACGAGCGCGCGCGGCAAGGTCAATAGGGTCTTGGCTAGAAGCGCCATTGCTCGAGGATTTGACACAAATCTCGATCAACTTGATCTGTTCTTTGCTATCGCGAATTGGCCAATTGCGACCTGACTTGCCGATAACATCGAGCTGCTTGAGTAGGGAGCCTTGATCCCAGGACTGGCGGATCTGCAGAATCTTGCCGTTGTTATCAAACGTGACGATGTGCATCTAAGTTATGTATTAGTTAAGTCTTGAGGGAAGAGTAGTTTGAACAATATAGCGCGACCTACAATGGGAATATAAACAGTCCGATCAGCCAGGAAGTTGTCATCGAGACCAGGTAGATAAGGTCCACCACTGGTGAGAAACTCAAGTACAGTGTCAATCTCGACGGCAATGGCATTTTGACCTTCTATGACGGTAAGAAATTCCGACTTCTTCTTCTTGAGCTGCCTGGATGTAATGTTAAGGTGCTTGATTATTTCGGCTGAACCTCTGTAGCTAGAAGTAGTGGTTATGTAGTGGAGGGAAGCATCGTCCGCCAGTTGGGACGAGCTCGGCGCAGCAAGGAACTGCTTGTAGACAGCCGCCAGCGCCATGGTGATGTATGTTTGGCTTAGCCGACGCGTATAGGTACGTTTGGATATTTTGACTCGGGCGTCCTTGTGCGATGCGTGTTGATTATAGAGTAAAGCCGTCAAGGTGTTTAAAGCCACAGTCTATAGTACTTTACTATAGGACGATTATGGAGATGAGATGGATGTGGGATGAAGAGGATGAAGATGTTTAGAAAAGGAGAAGGAAGAAAAATAGTTGTGAAGGGGTAAGAATAGTAAGAGTGTGTCGCGCGTCACTAAGGCAGAAGGCAGAAGGCAGATGGTAGACGGTAAACGGTAAATGGTTAGACCAGGGATGAAATAAAGAAATGTGGTTGCGGCAGGAACCTGTGAAGCGTGCTTGTACTTATTTAGGTACTTGCCTTCCCTACCTTGTACCGTACCCGTCTGCCCGTACCGAAAAGTGTAAGAGATAATTAAATGGAAGGAGCATGAGACGCTTGTCGCATTGCTTTCTGTTTACATCCACCAACCCTGTCTGGTACGTTTAGCCCGTCCCTGCCCGTCATGTCCGCCCCTGTAGCATGTACCTAGAGTTTACTGCTATTTTAACCCATCTTGTTTACTTACTGCCAAGGTCTAACGACCGTTGCCTAGGCTCTGATGTACATAATGTTTCATTACCTTATCAACCTTGATTGCGCACATAGGCAGATCTTAAGGTCGTGACATACTGACATTGATATCTAACATAGCATTTAGATAAACGTTTATATAATATACAATAAACTCTCAAGTGTATATTAGTTGTTGGTAGGTACGTACGTATGGTAAAAGCAATAAATAAGGTAATAATAAATAATAGTGTTGAGATTGGTATATAATGAGTGTTTAAGGAGGGAAGAATCTATCTAAAGTTAGTTAGGTATAGTATGTTTTTATATTTTAATAATAGTGGATACTTAATCCTTTTATTTAGTAAAGTCGGGTATTTTATCTTTTCTTTCCTTATTTACGATAAGGGTATTTTATTATTAGTAAGGTACCTTTATATTAATATTACATGATTATTATTTATTTTGTTTTTTTTTTGCAATTAATTGATTGCGAAATATAATTTAAATAAATGAAATTTTAAAATTTATACTAACGTATATTTGTGTTGGTTTGGATATGTATTATTATATATTTATGGTTTTATATATCTATAATCGCATATACTTGTGACGGTTAAAGAATAAAACCGTAATGGTTTAAATTAGGAGTTATTTTATAAATGGGGTTACGTTAACATATATTATATTATTTTATTCTTGGTATATTTTTTTTTATTTTTTGCGATGGTTTGCGTCTGGGTTGGTGTTAGTAATTAGTTTTAATAATCTATTATTATGTTGGTTTAATATTATTTTTAATTTCCCTGTATTTTATTTACCCTTTCAAGTATAAATTAATTTAGTTATTTTTTACTAATATTTTTATAGCTTTATTTGGGGATGTTTTTGTTATTGCATCTGCCAGATTGTAATTGTTATGTATTTATTAAATATTATTAATTTCCTTGTTTTTGTATAATTGTTTTAGGGTTATAAAATCAATTATTAATTTTTTTTTATTAATATTGCTTATTTAAATAAGGTATTAGTATAGCAAGAAAGAGTTTATGCATAAAACGAAAGGGATTATTGGGAGGTTTAGTTAGTTTAGGATGGTGTTAATAGTATTGTAAATAACGTAGTTTATATCAAAACCTTATACTATTCTATAAATTTTATTAGTAAATATGCTATGCGTAATATGTTTATATTTAGTAGATGATTAATAAATAATATTACTGGTAAGTTATATTTTATTATTATGATTTGTAGGTTTTTTATTATTAAATATTATAATATAGTTAATTTAGAAGTTTATATTTTTGTTGTTAATAAATAAGTTGTTTACAAAAACGTATAAGTATAGGTTTTGAGGGTTTAATTTTATATATTTAAAGTTTTAATCTTTATGATCTATTTGCTATTTAATTCTTACGTTAAGGGTTTTGGTTTCTTTTGGCCTAGGTTTTATATATTACGCTATTATAGAATAGTCGAAAACTATTTTGGGTTGGTAAATAAACACAATATAGGCATTTTTTATACGTTATTTTATAAATTTCTTAATTATATCAAATACCTTTAAATCCAATTTTTCTAACCTTTTTGTTTATCTTTTTTAAATAGTAGAAATTGTTTTTTTATAAACTACAATCTGTAATTCGTTAAAGTCTTCGACTACGCCTAATTCCAAAACTTTTTAAAATTTTGCTTTAATACTTACCTTTACAAAAACCTTATCCTCTTCAGCTAGAAATTCTGTTATGCCAATATTTAATATATTATTTATTTGTAAATCTATAATTCCAAATAATTAATTTAACTTTACAATTAATAAATACAAATTAAATACTAACAAAGTCATACCTAATTTTTTTTAATAATACTTAAAATAAATTTTAAACCAATATATACCTAATTTTGCAAATCCGTACAAAAATTTAACTATTCGCAATAACGTTCCTTTAAGATATTTATTTTTTAATTTTGAAAATAAGTGTATGTATATTATCCTTTACATAAAAATCTTAAACTATATATACGCCATGGTAATATCTCGGATTATCACCTTTATGTTTTACTATTGTAATATAAATGCTAAAGCCAATATTAGGCGTTGGCTAACGCATTAAATCATTAAAGCATATATCATAATAAAGTTTTTCTTAAGGTCTCCGTAACCTTATACCACAAATCGTAATTTCTTATATAATATTAACGTATTTTTCTCCTTAACTTTATAGATTATATAAAACTTAAATATGGTTACGCCTTGGTAGAATGCCTTGTCATATATTTCGGGTTGTAAGATACCGTTTGCAAAAAAGGCATCAAATTTCTTTATATTAGAGACTTCGTACAACCTTCTTAGCGTAACTATTTTTCTGTTTAATTATAGTTTTAAAGTAAAGGCGTAGTTGTTCTTTTCTTTTATGTTAATATATACTATACTTATAATAAATATATCTAAATCTTTATTAGATATAATCTTATACTTATTAAGGTTAAACTAAGGTAGCAGTAGCGGTAAATAAATTTTAAAACTTCTTTTTAGCTATTTATATAGTTTAACGTATATATTCCAAAAAATCGAAGTACCTTTTAATACGCTTAATATGATGGTTACGTTTTTGTTTATGACGGTAATAATTTTATATGGTCTTTCCCATCCGTCTTTTTTATAATAGATTAGTATATTATTACCGATAGATAGTAATATAGGTAACGTTTTTAAGATATTTAATCCGTTTTTCGTGTTTATAACATCGCGGATGGTTTTTTACGTTTTGACCTTTTTAACTTCAATTATAACTTTCTGTACTACCTAAGCCTTTTCTAGTTGCAATTGCGTGGGGAAAAAGTCTATATTGATCTTTAGATAGGCGTTAAAGACCAATAGAATAAAAACAAAACTGTTCGAGTTTACCGTATTGTTTACGACTTTAATTGTTATTTGTAAGTAAGCTTTTTTTAACCCCTATATTTCTTCGGAAATAATTTTGTACACTTTCTAAATCGAGTTATAATATTTTTTCATTTTACTAATTAACTAATATGTTTCGATGGGTACCTGGTTATAAACAATTCCTATAAAATAAACTTTATTACAAAATTTAACGTTATCAAAATTAGTGCCCATATTATGGTTAAAAATATTTAGTGGTTTTAGGTATGTATCGATCTAATATTACTTAAATATTTTTTAGGTTTCTTTAACAAAAATATTTTTTATAAATTAGATTATTTAAAACTTTATTATTGCGTTAATTATATAGAGAATTGATTTCCTATTTAAATATATAATATTGGTAATTATTTTATAGTTAAAATCCATATCGGAATTTTTAAGGCTAAACTTAAAACGTTAAAATGTTTTATCCTTAACCTAATAATAGTAGTAAAATTTATTAATCTTTTTAAAGTTTTTAATACTTACCTTATATTTTACTTTATTAAATAAATCGTAAAATTTGCTAATAAATAGATAGCTAAAATATATATACAAACAGCATAATTTTACCTCCATGAAATAAATAATATTGTTAAATTAAAATTATAAATATTTTTATTTTTACATAACTTTAATTATTACGCCGTTTTTATCGATTAATTAATTAATAATATTATTAAGGTATATTTCCAAACGGTTCATATCTTTAATAGAAAAAAAAAATGGAATATTTGTTTTTATTATATAAAAATCTACCTTACTAAATAAGGTGTTAATTATTATAATTTCCAATAATTTAATAGATAAACTATTTCCGAAATATATATTAGCTTCGCCGGTACGGTTAATATTTAAATTATTACAATACTTTAAATTCTCGTTAACGAAGATTTAATACTAACCCTTACCTACAATTAACACTTATATTACTCTTATATCCGGTATAATACCTTAAAATATATTTTTTGCATATTAATTAAAAATAAATATAATATCGATATTAGATTTATCAACAAATTTTTTAAAATTTAATATTTGTAGATTAAGTTAATATTAGAAAAATTTATTTAAAAAATAAACCGTAATTATATATTAACTCTTTAATTCTTCTTCTTTTCCAATAGACTCTTTGGACTTTTCTACGTTAAAATTTTTAATGTTTTTGTATTCGGCTAAAAAAGTTATATAATTTTCCTTCGCCTAACCTCTTTTAACCTTCCATTAGGCTCTAACCTCCTTACATTCCTTCTCCAAATATTTAATTAACCAACATTCTTCTTTTTTACATACCTAACAGTAACGTTTCTAATATTTTAACGTTTTTTGGTAAGTATTATATTTACTATTTTTATTATTGTAATAATATTTACAATTAATATAATATTAACCAATACCATATTTGTTATTGTTACTATCTTTATTATTAATGTTTATTATAAATTAATATATTCCTTTAAAATTCTTAAACATTCCAATAAATACTTGGAATTTACTAG